ATCGTATCGTAAAATAGTTTACGAAGAAAAAACAAGGGGTCAAGTTTAGTAAAAATCGTAAGCGTAGTAACGTGATTTTCGATGACAAAATCTTACGACGCTTACAAAATCTCGTAAGCTTCGTAAGTTATTTTACGATACGAAGAATACTAAGGATACGAAGAAATAATGAATACCCTCTATATATTCTTGATCAGCATGAAAAACCCGACATTTTGACGTATCACATTCCCCGATCGGAGAGGGGTCCTTATGCCCGTATTGTTCCTTTTCGTATATCTTTTTCATTCCTGTTTAAAAAACACGCACAATTCAAAATCAATTGAATTTCAATATTTATGAAAATAACGACCCCATGAATTTTATGTGTGAACCGAATCTGCACAAATCAATTATGATAACAAATAAATATATACTCAAAACAAAAATTTGTGAAATCAACACCGCCGGTGTCAGTATATGACTTAACCGCCTTGGTTACAATGTTGAATCCGAGTTATGATGGTTTTGATACCGGTAGTTATAATGTTATGACCGGACGGAAAAAATTCATTACTACTCGGAATCACAATTGTAACCAAGGCGGTTAAGTCATATATTGACACCGTTTTGTTTTGAGTGTACGTCTATGACATGCCAGGTCGCCCGCTGTTTTGCACACCTATTTCATACGTAGTTATTTACCAATTCATAAAAATAGAAACATCCAAAAATTAGAGATTTTTAAAAAATGCAAAAGTATCCACGTATTCAATATTTATGAAAATGACGTCAAAATTAATCAAAATTTGCGTTGTTTAGCTATTTTTTTGCCAATCTGTATATTCTAGGTAAATTTTTTTCATGTGTGTTTAAAAACATGCATTCACACTTATCAAGTGGATATCTATAAAAAATTATGAAATTCAATTTCGAAATTTACGAAAATGACCACCCAATGCAAATTATGAGTTTATGTAAATGAATCTACGACCTCAAAAAAGTAAGATAACATTTTTAATAACGTTTTTGTACCAAAAATAGACATAAGTAAATCTATAGTAAATTACTATTAGTAATTAATGGTAAATATTGAAAATAAATATACGTTTGATATGTGACAAGTCGACGACTGTTTTATAGATGTTTTAAGAAAACACATACTCGTATAAAATGTTAAAATGTTAAAATGTTAAAATGTGACAGTTTTACATCGCCAGGACTCAGATTTCTCTGCTTTTCAGCCTCAGATGGCGACTTCTTGCCATAATTTCGTAGCAAGTTGTCTCATCCCCACAGAGAACGGACTCTGCTAGGGGCTGTACACAGTGACATTGCCATTCCGTATGGCTGGGCTCACCCTGTCACGAGACAGCACCTACCCCGTACTAACACCGAGCCGAGTAGGATTAGCAATAGCTTCCCGGCCAGAGGAATCGAACGTGTGACTGCGTGGTGACAATCCTACCCTCGTACCTCTGAGCCATAGGGGCTTGCTTATACGCGTATTACACTATTAAAAATCTGGTAGTGTCACATAGATACTCCGTGCTGGTATTGATTTGGTAATAATTTCCTACTGGATTGATAGTAAATTGTTCCTGACTGGTAAATTTTTCATTACCACAACATTACTGAACAGTAATTCCCGTTAATACCAGCGCCCGTAGAGTTACATATGTACTCCGGTCGGTAATGATTTAATACCAGTTTTCTAAGAGTATACAACTTTATATCTTTTAAAAATGGAGAAATAGAACATTAATATTTACGAAATTAGCGTCAAAATTGATCAAATTATGATTTTTTACGCCATTTCTTGTGAACCTGTATATTTTTTGTTGTATTTTTTATACGTCGTTTTAAAAATATGCATTCATACTTATCAATTGGACAACTAATTTTCGAAAATGACGACCCTTGTAGACTATGAGTTTATGTACGTGAATCTACGATATCAAAAAAGCAACATAACATTTTTAATAACCCTTTTTTACCAAAAATCAGATACAAGTATGCATACGCAAATTTATAATAATTTATAGTAAATATTGAAAATAAATATACTTTTGTGATATGACAAACAGTCGACGACTGTTTTATACATCTTTTTCATGCATTATTTGTTACATATTCATAAAATTATAAAAACATACTCATACAACAAACAGATGTGTAACATATTCAAAAACTTTCCAAACTATCAACATATTTAATATTTATGAAAATGGCGTCAAAATTGATCAAAATATGAGTTTTTAACTATTTTCTGCATATTTTTCTGTGCATATTCTTCATAAATATTTTCATACTCACTAAACCATGCTCACTGAAGAGTAAACTAACGAACATAATAATATGAAAAAATAGTCCAGGATCACTGCCTTTATTAAATATGAAAATGGCGTAAGAATTAATCAAAATACGCGTTTTTTAATTTTTTTTGCCGCTATGTTTTTTATTACATCGTTTTCATGCGTATTTGCATATTCATAAAAACATGCTCAACAATTAAATAAACATACTAATTTAAAAACGACGAAAATGAATTCCATTATTTATGAAAATAGCGTCAAAATCATCAAGTTTGTGACATGACAGGAAGATGGGATGTTTTGCACACCTATTTCATACGTAGTTATTACTATTTGCATATTCATAAAAATAGCAACACTCAACAATTAGATTGAATTGAAGTTTTACTATACTGATTTATATGAACACGTGATACACGCAATAATGACGAAGATAAATAAGTAAATATCTATAAAAAATTATGAACATGTCCACGTATTCAATATTTATGAAAATGGCGTCAAAATTAATCAAAATTTGCGTTTTTTAGCCATTTCTTTTGTCCATCTTTGTTTTTGCTAGATGTTTTGGGTACATATTTACCAGGGTTGGCCAAAATACATGGGTTTCAAAATACAAAATACAAAATGAAAATACATTGCTGTGAACCTTCAAAATACAATTACAAAATACAAAATACTCGAATCTCGTCAAAATACAAAATACAAAATACTTTTGCCCAAAATCGTCGAAATCTAAAAATACAAAATACAAAATACGTATTTAAAATACATTTCAAAATACAAAATACTACTGCCAGATTTGACCCTGAAAATGCAAGTCAAGCTCAAATTTCAAAATTGTGGCAAACTTATTTTATTTCACAGCGTTATTTGGAATTGAATAATTATGTTTCTGAGCATGTGTGCGTTCATTTGTTATCCAAAAAATGATAAGCCCCCCATAATTTCAATCTAATTAATTTTAATCCTTCTCGCATTATAGAAAGACCTTCTCGTACGACAAAGTGTCGATAGTGAAGGGAACATAAGTTTTAATAACCATCTTAACTATTTAAGATTAAAAAATTAATCATCTGCATAAATACAAAATATTTTACACAGTTTTCTGGCACAGCCGAGAGTCCAGAAACTGAAAATAATCGATGCTTCTTAATAGTTAAACTCTTGTTCTACTCATGAGTTCGTCTCATATTTGCCAAATGTATTTTGTAAAGTATTTTTGTATTTAAAATACTTTGACCGACTTGAAAAGTTAGAAAATATAAAATACAAAATACAAAATACCCGGCTAGCTTCAAAATACAAAATACAAAATACTTTCATCTGAACCATGGCCCTCAAAATACAAAATACAAAATTGTATTTTGTATTTTGTAATTTGTATTTTGTATTTCAAATAGTATTTTGCCCAACCCTGATATTTACATATTCATAAAACATGCCTAATCATCTGGACCCATAGAAAAAGTCCTACGATGACATAAATCTTTTAAATATTTCTGAAAATGACGTCAAAATTGATCAAAATGTGCGTTTTTAACTGGGTTTTGTCAACCTATACTTTTTTTGGGGACATTATTTTCACACGTGTTTAAAAGCACACTTCTCAATTGGATATGTCTACAAATTACGAAATTGAATTTGAATATTTTTTGAAAATGACGACCCCCTGCTAATTATTAATCAAGTACACCGCCCAACAATTAGATTGAAAGATCTATACAAACTTACGAAAGTATCGATATATTCCGTATTTATGAAAATGACATCAAAATTAATCAAAGTGTGACTTTCTTTAACAATATTTTGTCAATCTGTATATTTTTAAGTACATCTTTTTCATGCATGCACACTTATCAATTGGATATCTATAAAAAAACTTGCGAAATTGAATTTCAAAATTTACAAAGATGCGAATTATGCGCGAATGATGACCCTATGCAAATTATGATTTTATTTAAAGCGAATCTATGATATTAAAAAATATAAATACATCTTATGTATTCACAGATTCTGTGATGTGACAGGTCGACGGCTGCATGTTTTTCTGTGCATCTTTTTCCCAAGCATTTATTCATTCATTAAAACATGCACTTATAAATCCAAATATTTTTTAAGATCTACATAAAAAATTATGAAAGTATCGATATGCATATTAAATATTTTTATAAATATTAATATAAATATAAATATTAAATATTTTTTTTTAAATTACGAGTCTAATCATCCAAAATCATTAAAGGAATCTATTCCATTCAGTCAAGCTTTACGCATTAAGAAAATATGTTCTAGAAAAGAGGACTGTGAAAAAGAATTTACGGTGTTATGTAAAAAGTTTTTAAGCAGAGGATATCCCATTACAGTGATAAACGAATGTATAGAAAAGGTCAGAATAAAAAACAGGCATGAAGTTTTACAACCAAAAACCAAACTTGTGTTACATTCTCTTCAGAATTACTACCCAGAAATAATATGTAAATACCAAAACTGTAAAATCAAAGAAAACAGAGATACACAGAAAACATTTATAGTTATGCCATTTTACAATAATATGTATCAGTTTAAACATACTCTCATAAGGTATAGAGACAGAGAAAGATATGAGCACAAATAAACAGTATCGTGATATTATTGATAGCCTAAACTTTGTAATCTCTTATAAGCAAATAAATTCCTTAGCACAGTATTGTATGAAAAGGTAATTTATTATCTCAGTCTTGTACAAACCACGAAAGAAATACATTACATTTATTCAATTGTACACACAAATGAAAGACTCAGTCTCACCAAAGGTAATATAAATTTATATATTATGATTTATTTCTACTCTTGATGGCAGCATCTAATTTTATTCTAATTTTATTCTAATTTTAATTTTAATTTTAACAATTTTGTAATATTTTTTGATTGTAAAAGGTCTGATGAAGCATTAAAAAATTGCGAAACCGGTCACAACTGGTGATTAAAAACATCCAACATCGGTTGAAAGTGTTTTCTTTTCATAAAAAGTCAAAATTAATCAAAATATGGATTTTTAACGATTTTCTGTACATTTTTCTGTGTATATTTGTCATACATATTTTCATACTCACTAAACCACTCACTCGCGAATTTATGAAAACATACGCAAGTATCGCTGCCTCACGAAAATGGCATCAAAATATGAGTTTCTTATATATTTTTTGACAATATCTGTATGTTTTCTTACATCTTTTTAATGCCTATTTGCATAATCATAAAACCTATACTCAACAAAAAAATACCTATTTAAAATATTACGAAAATGAGTTCCATTATTTACGAAAATGGCGTCAAAATTAGTCAAAATATGATTTTTAAATCTTATTTTTTGTTAATTACATATGTATCCCCCCCCCAATTTAGAACCATCCAGTTCTTTTTTTGAAACCAAGACCCTTTTCTAAAAAAACATCATCAAAAATTGATAAAATTGATGTACTGCTTTATAAAGTGATGCCCTAAATAATTAGAAATTACTGACATCTATGATTGCTAAATATTTAAAATATCACCACCACCTAATTTATAATTTGTTCATTACAAAATCTTCCTTAAAATCAATCAGAATTATTTAGCAATTATATTATTACCAATTTTGTATAGATAGGAATTATTGCCAATCTTGTTCAAAATCTGAAGAATTCCGTCACAATTTTGCAAATCGTTTTCTACACTCTTAGAAATGGGGTTACGATTATAACCAAAAAGTAAACGTATGTGACTCTACCCCCCTGGTTATGAATTTGTCATCAACTGGTTATAAATTTATTAGCTCTGGTGACAATTTATTACCAAATCTGTGAAACGTTATAATTAGTCGGTGACAATTGTAACCACTCGATGACAAATTCATAACCAGGGAGATAGAATCACATACGTTTACTTTTTGGTCATAATCGTAACCCCATTTCTAAGAGTGTACTGTAAACACGATTTTAACCAATATTGGTACCATATCTGTTTAAAAAGATCGCACAGAAACGAGTTTATTCCATATTTACCAAAAATGGCGTCAAAATTAGGGGTTTAGCTATTTTTTGTCCATCTGTGTAATTTTTTGGTACATCTTTTTAATATGGATTTATACATTTACAGTCAGTGGAACAAGTATAGGCACCACCCACTCAAGTTAAATAAAATTGCCTATAACTTTGGAATGCATTATCAAATTAACATGAAACTTTGTACACATTTAGCCAATTTAATGTAGTGTTCGATTATAATCATGTTTTATTGATTAAAATTGGATAAACACAGTTTTTAAATAATTTGTTGGAAAATATGTAAAATTAACCCGTAAAAAGTATTGGCACCCTATAACTTATAAAATTATAAATCGAAGAATTGCCAATTTTATTACGTCACACTTCTTCTAATGTTACGTGGCACCTCCCCTCGACGCAATAAGAGCATAAATAGGCCGTGGAATTGATTCGACAAGTTTCTTTATAACGCTTTTCTATATGGCTGCCAAAACTTCTTCCGAACTTTTGACAAGCTCGTTTTTCGACGAGTGGTTTCCCATCAGTCCCTCTTTTCTCAACCCGGACAATCAAAATCATATCGGGAGACTGAGCGGCCAACGAAAGAAGCTTAATCTTTTCAGTCTATAAAAACTTGCACAGTTAATTTGGCTATATGTTTGGGGTCACTGCATTTTTGGAATATGAAATTCTTTCCTAGGTCAGGTTTTTGTCAAATGATTTCAAATTATGGTTTGTAATGATTACTTAGACCTCCTTGGTCATGATTTCGTCGATAATGACCAGGTAACTACGCCGCGACCTAGTCATTTAACCCCAAACCATAATCGATCCTACGCTGTGTTTAACTGCCATATGCACATATTCGTTTTTGTGAGCCTTTTATGGCATCCGCCAGACTTGGACCATTCAATTGGCTCCAAATAACTAATACTGGCTTATGTCGAAGCAGCAGACCGTTATTTACTCAATGAAAGTCTATTTAGGGTGATATTTACCCCATTCCAATTTATTGAGCTTCTTTGTTTTGAGGACCCTCGCGTTTTTCGGGCAACTGGACCCTGAAACCCCATGGCGTGATTTTTTATTGATCACCATATAGCATGATCTGTTGACCCCACAGCTCGTACTCAAATTTAACATGATTTTGGAGGTTGAAATATTCCGATCTCGAGTGATAATTTGCTTGATTAATCCGTTGATTTTAGGATTAGGCGGCTTTTTTAGCCGGATCATAAGAAAGCAGGAACTAAAATGATTGCTTCATGTTCTTTGGCTACATTTCGAATAGTAAATATCACGGAGCATGTTTCCTGTCTGAGTTTTTGATATCCAAGCTTGTTTAAGAAGGAGGCATGATTATTTCTCGCTCCGCCAAAAATAGCTCGTTTGGTGTCGCAATTTTGGCTCTAGACAATACCAATCTGGACTTACGAAGCAGATAAAGTTATATTTTGTGATCTGATTAACTTACCGTGACAAAAGGCAGAGGTTTATCGTTATAAAAATTTCGCTCAAATAATTAAGACACAAGGTGCCAATACTTTTTGCAGATTCCAACCTGACGTGTTCGTATCAAAATCAGAATAACGTTATGGTTATATAATTTCAGTCGGGAACATGATTATAATCGAACACTGCATTAGATTTGCTAAATGTGTACAAAGTTTCATGCTAATTTGATAATGCATTCCAATGTTATAGGCAATTTTAGGTAGCTTGTGTGGGTGGTGCCTATACTTGTTCCATTGACTGTATAACCACACTTATCGATTGAATAGATCTGTAAAAATAATTGCGAAATTAAAGATCGGTACTAACGGAAATGACGTCAAAATTAATCAAAATTTTACTCATTTTTTCTTAATCTGTATTTTGTGGTACATCATTTTTACACGGATGTACATATCATATAAACATGCACCCTCATCAATCAATTAAATTTATTATATTAAATTTATCTATTTAAAAATTACGAAATCGAATAATTACAAAGAGGCTCCCTCAGCTATTTTATATTTCTTAAAACAATTAAGAAATAGAACTTTAATATTTACAAAAATGTCAGCCAAATTGATCAAAATAAGTTTTTAGCCAGTATTTTTTTCAATCTGTATAATAACTTTTTCATACGCGTTTAAAACCACGCTTGCACACGTATTTATCAGTTGGATATCTATTTAAAAAAATAAGAAATTGAATTTCAAAATTTTCGAAAATGAGGACCTATATATGTTTGTGATGCGACAGTTTAATGCCTGTTTCGTACATCTTTTTGTACGGATTTAGTTCACCTTCATAATAGCATGCTCTCCAGCCAATTTTTTTTATATATATTTTAGAAAATTACGAAATTATGAATTTCAATCTTTACGAAAATGACGTCAAAATTAATCAAATCTTAATCAAATAACAATCAAAATTTCAGTTTTTACCATTTTTTTGTGTCAACCAGAGTCAACCTGTATATTTTTCGGTACATCTTTTTAAAAACATGCATACACACTTCTCAATTTTCAATTAGATACCAATAAAAAATTACAAAATTGAATTTAAAAAATGATGACCCCATGCAAATATAATTTCATGTAAGTGAATATATAAGTGATAGTGCAAAAAATAACATCAGATTCTCTAATATATAAGATTTTTAACAAATATTGATAAGTCAATTTATAATAATTTATAATCTATAAATATTTCTAATACTAAATAATTGTGCAACTTTTTCCTATATTTTTGCATTTTCATAAAAAAAAAAACATTAACATGAATCCAACCTGGTAATCTACTTTAAAACAGTTATGTCTCAAATATTTATGAAAATGGCTTCAAAATTTACCAAAGTATGAGTTCTTAAGTCCCCTTTTTTGTTAACGGTATATTTTCTAGTGCATCTTTTTTCAAAAGTGTTTACAAACATATACCCTTATAAATTCGATATTTATAAAAAAAAATACGAAATTGAATTTCAAAATTTACCAAAATGACGACCCCATTCAAATTATGATTTTTTTTAAGTGAATAGCGAATTAATGATAACAAATGAATATACGTATGTGATTTGACAAGTCGACGACTGTTTTATACACGTTTTTTATGCATTTTTGCATAAAAACATACTCACCAAGAAAGCAAACGTTTTATCTATTCAAAAACGAAAGTATCGAACTATTCAATATTTATGAAAATGACGTCAAAATTAATCAAAATATTCATTTTTAGCTATTTTTGTCAATCAATGTGTGTTTTTTTCTAAATCTGTCTCATACCTGTTTAAAAACACATGCACCATTTAAAATCAATTGGATATCTCTAATAAATTACGAAACTGAATTTCAATATTTAGGAAAATAACGACCCCATGAATTTTACGAATTTATGTGTAAACCGAATCTGCACAAATCAATTATGATAACAAATCAATTATGATAACAAATAAATACACGTCTGTGACATGACAGATCGTTCGACAGATATTTTGCATACCTATTTCATACGTAGTTATTTACATATTTATAAAAATAGAAACACAACAAAATTATGGATCTATAAAGAAATACTGTAATATATCCACGTACTCAATATTTACGAAAATGACGTGAAAATTAATCAACATTTGTATTTTTTAGCCATTTTTTGTCAATATGCAAATTTTAGGTAAATATTTCTCATATGTGTTTACAAACATGCATGCACACTTATTAACTTGATTTGTACAAAAAAAATTAAGAAATTGAATTTCAAAATTTACGAAAGTGCGAATTATGTTTTTTTTTTGTATATAAGTGAATCAAGAATTAATCCAAATAAGATCTATTTTAAAAAAAACAGTGAAAAAATCGATTTATTTAGTATTTTTGAAAATGACGTCAAAATTAATCAAAATATGACTTTGTAACGATTTTCTGTGCATATTTTTCATACGTATTTAATACTTACTCACTTGTGTACTCACTAAAACATGCTAACGAACTACCAACCACACTAATATATCTATGAAAAATTTACGCCGACATCACTATTTTTAATATTTACGAAAATGGCGTCAGAATTAATCAAAATATGTGTTTCTTTGTCAATTTGTATGCCGTCTTATGGATCAAAGCCATGATTAACTACTAACTAACAGGAGAAGATATTTCCTTATCTCTAATAAAATTTAATGCCTTATGAAATTGAAAATCTCGTCTTCGCACTAATTTATAATCGTCACTCTCATTTATTAATTACAAAATCTTCCTCACAAGCAACCAGAATTATTTAGCAATTATATCATTGCCAATTTTGCATCGGTCAGAATTATTGCAAATTCTGTTCAAAATCTGTAGAATTCCGGCACAATCTTGCAATGCTGATTCTACCGTATCCTCCAAATTTTTGAGCCCGTTCGCCGTCTTTTTCAGACAAAAGAGTCGAATTCTACACTCTTTTTCGCTCTTTGACATTGTCTGTTCCCACGTCGTTTTCGAATTGGCTGCCATCATGACAATGTTCCGCTTCACGGCGGTCCTCAGCTTATCCAGTTTTACGCGGTACTCTTTGAACACAGAGGTCAACAAGGTCATCTCTTTCAAACGGGAAGCGAGAGAGGATGCGTTTTCAAGGTCATCGTCCAGGCTGACAATTTGGTCAGAAAAGAAGATGTATCGAGTCAACGAGGGCTTCAGGGCCGTCTGCGTATCGAGAAAGGTGGACTCGAGGAGGTACAGGGGAAGCATCAGCGTCGACGACAGGGCGTCGCCATCTTCGTCGCCATGCAGCAGGGTTATCCTGCGTGAAAGTTTAAGATGCAAATTATGAGGAATTACCAAAATATTTCCACAAAATACAGCAGCATTTTGATCTCCGTTTTTCCCAGAGGCTGGATTTCTAGGGGAGTTACACCCACAAAAAGACGAAAATCAGCATGGAGAAGACAATGGTCAGTCAAAAAGTAAAGGTTTTCTGAAGAAATTTAAATTTTCATCGCTTTAAAAATGCATTATTTTCGGGATTTTTCGAAATTCAAGTATTTTTACAGCCATATAAAGTAAATTTCTTCACAAAACCCATATTTTCGTCTGACTGTTGTCTTTCTCCACGTAGATTTTCGTCTTTTTTTGAGTGTGTAACGGCCCCCGAAAATCTAAACCCTGGGAAGGACGCAGCTCAAAATACTCTATTTTAACAAAGCATTTTACTCATTCCTGAATTTTAAAATTTAAGATTAATTAGTGCATGCATATCATGATTGATAACCTACATTTTCTCGCTGCCATCTCCTTCCACCAATTTTTCCACGTCAATCGTGCACCTTGCCCGCATAATGATGATGAAACAAAATCAACAAAACACTGTGTTTTGACAAAAAATCTATATAGTTTTTATATTCTCGGAATATACAAAAATACAAAAAACGAGACATCCAGAAGGGACGGAACAAAACAAAACAAAACAAAAAAAAAGAATTTGTGTAATTCCATAGAATTACAACATCGTAAATTTTTTATGGAGAAGGACGACGAGAATTAGTAGAGGGCCGGCATTAGCGAAAAGGTTGGCCGTCCAGCAGCGTCCGCTTCGCGACCCCAATCCTCCTCATCCTCGTCGCTGTAGTCGTTCTCGTCGTAGGGACGGACGACCCGCGCGCGTGCCGCCTTCGCCTCCTCGGCCGTCTTCTCAGGCTTCTTGAACGTTTCGGCGTCAATTTCCGCCCGTTCCTCGGCCCAAAGCTTCCTCGCGCGAGAGACAGTGTCTGCATCTGCAATTAATTAATTAAAAATATTAATTAAATTTAGTAATTATTTGATTAAAATCATGACAAACATTTAATAATGGAGATCTACTCTGAGATTTTGAGCAAATTAGTGTTAATCGATCACAAATTTAGTTGCGATGAAATTTGTGAAGACACGATCTCTCAATGGGTTCGATTGGCCGAGATATTTGCATCAGAAGAGGAGAAAACGCCCAGTAAATTTGTAGAATGTAAAATTTGTCGACTTTATAACGCGTTTTCTCCTCTCCGGATGCAAATATCTCTGCCAAACGTGCCCATTGGGAGATCATGTCTTTCGCAAATTGCATACTAATCAAATTTGCCATCGATTTACACTAATTTGCTCAAAATCACGCTGAGAGTGTGCAGATTGAGCTCCGTTTCTCATTTCTTGCAAAACTTCACCTCCATTAAACTTACCGTGTAGATGCTCCTCGTCTGTGTATGGTGGTTTCAGATCACATATTTTCTCGTGATTTTCCAACTCTGGGCGCAAGACTTGCATCCCGCAGTCGAAGCGACATCCCACCACGACCGGATCCAGTCCGAGACCCTTCATCCTCTTGACGTAGTTCCTCTTACATTTGTAATAGTGGGTGAAAGCCCTCGAGTCACTGCAAAATACAAAAAATATGACAAAAATTAGAATCACGTGATAATCATTAATATGCAAATGCAACTAAACTAATCAGTAGCGACGGAAATTGAGGGGACAAATGGGGGCATTGATTGGAAGAGAAGGGACTTGTTAACATGGGCATGATATGATTTTGCTTAATTTCTTGGGGGCAATGTCCCCTTGTCACCCAACTTTCGCCGGTAATGACACTAATAATTAATTAATTAATTAGATTAAAATTAAAACCACGTGATAATCATTACTATACAACTATAATTAATTACATTAATCTGCATGATTAAATTTAGAATTAATTAATTAGCTTACATAATCCAATGGGACTTGTCGTACGGACACTGGACGAGCTTCTCTCCCTCCGCAAGACGGAAATTGGGGTGGAAAGGAGACTTCGCAGGACCAGCCATGACTCAAACGGGTGTCCTGAAATAAAAAAAATAAATACATTTAAAATGCATCAAAATTTCAGTAAAAAAATAAATGACCACTTTCTTCACACTCGTTTAAAAATAAATTCAAACAACTTACCGGACTTTCGTAAAGGTGACGAAACAATAAAAAAAGTCCTCGTCTCACTGGACAAGAATAATCTCAAACGGCTGTCCTTCCTAACCCTGAAATAAAAACAATTTAATTAAATGTAAACAAACCAATTAAAATGCCAAATTGCATTCAAAAAATGACCCCTGCTTTCAAACATTACTTTCTCTCGTAAACAAAAACCCCCAAAAAACTTACCTGACTTTCGTACAGGTGACGAAACAATAAAAAAAGTCCTCGTCTCACTGGACAAGAAGAATCTCAATTTAAACGGCTGTCCTTCCTAACCCTGAAATAGCAACAATTTAATTAAATGTAAACAAACCAATTAAAATGTCAAATTTCATTCAAAAAATGACCCCTGCTATCATTCAAACATTACTTTCTCCCGTAAACAAACCCCCAAAAAACTCACCTGACTTTCGTAAAGTTGACGAAACAATTGTCTCGTTCGACAAGAATAATCTCAAACGGCTGTTCCTCCCTGAAATAAAAAAAGCAATTTAAAGTGTAAACAAAACAATAAAATAAAATATGCACAATTCATACAAATTTCATAAACTTAAAAGTCCCCACTACTTTCAAACAGTTTACGATAAGCCCCCCCACCCCCTGCCCCCACAAAACTTACCTCACTTTCCCAAAGAATCCAAAAAATTGTCTCCCTGGACAAAAACTGTGGTCGCTGGGACTGGACACAAAAATTGATGTCGTTCCCCTGCTCGCTTTCCGAACACTGAGAACGCATCGTAGAACGAACGTTCATTTTATACGATTACACGTTGAGACGTGCAATCGTAGTGGTGGTGGTGGCTGGCTCCTATGCAAAGTAGGTGCCCCTATATACAACGTAGTAATAAAGTGGAGACGGTGGTGGTGCTATTCTATTACTGCCAATGCAATGAACATCAGCAGTGAGTGAATTTTTTGAGAATTGGTGACAAAAATCACGTCTGTTCTTGTCCCCTTAATTTCAAAATAATAATAAAAACGTACTCCTTAAAATTTGAAATGGTTTAATTTATTTCTGTTTCGTAATTTCGTTATTTTTCGCGAATTGAAGGACCGGTAAGGAAAAAAATTGTTTTTTCCCCTTAAAAATCATAATAACAAATAGAAAATAATTGTAATTAAGTAATTGCGATAAGTGACAAGACGATATTATGGCGTGATGATGTGAAGTGAATTAGTTTGATAATTCGGGAGTTTGATGCCCTTGATTTTTATTTATTTCAGAAATTTTCTTCTTCCTTTATCCTCATCAAAGTTCAAAGTTTCTCTTTCTTTCGGCTGGTTTGGTGTTTGGTGGTCATCAAATGATAAGAAGGATACATAATAGAGTGAAGATAAGGCAAGTGTAAATAGTTAATGCGGAAAAACTGCGTTGTTTGTTTCCAATTTTTTACATCGTTCGTTTGAGCACGGACAAAAAAGTAACTTTGTTGAATTCAGTAAATATGCTGTTTAATTCATAATTTACCAATATTTTGCTCATTATTGCTTAATTACAGAGTCCGCAACTTGTAATTAATCATCAATTTACTTCCAAATCAATCTGGATAAGGATCATCACGTGATTATCTTCTCTAAATAATTCCGAAATTCAGCCGTGCTTCCATCAGTAAATCGAATGAATTTGGAAGAGATTTTATCAATTTTTTGAGCAACACGGAGTAAAAAAAAGTTATAAATTCTATCGAATTTGTAACGAAGATCAAGTCGAAGGTAAAATTAATCAAACTAATAAAATCGTAATTTTATTAATCATAACTTTCCCCATAAAATTTATTTCCATATTTTTTATTCCAGGAAACATAAATAAGAAATGCCCCACTAAAACTATCCTTCATTTCACATCCATCTATTCAACTCCAAAAATGTCTACTCCAAACACAGAACCTCCCCAATTTATCCCCCCTCCTGCCGAACCATCCCCGCCAAATGCTGCTACCGCTGGTCGGCCAGCCCCTTCCACGCCCACGATTCGATTCGGCGTCACTGCAACCGTTAGAGCCACCCAGCATCAACTTCCCTCCTCAAATCGTACCAATTTAGGCGGCTCGTCGGGGGGCACCAACGTTCCCCCCGCGACGAACAATAACGCCGGCGAGGTTCCACAACAAACGCAGAATCTCTTTCAAATGAGGGATCGCCTCTTTTTAGCCCTGTTTTTCCGTGTTTCGCTCATCTACGCGAGAACATGTCCGAAAAATATACGCCGAGCGTTAGAATTTCTACTGCTAATGCAATCCATAATTTTGCTCTTTATTTTGGGATATATTCACATCGTGTATACGCGATCGCCGACCACGTGTCTGACCGAGTATAAGGATTCCTGGCCGAAAAATGGGGTGTTGAGGGTGGAAATCACGTACAATAATGAAGGATACGATTTGATGAAGTCGTACGGAAAAGAGGAGAGGATGCGGCAACGAGCGACATCGTCACAGTTTGTGCAGTATACGGACGAGTTCTTTTCAATGATGATGACGGCGGATTCGTGAGTTGGATATTTTGAAAGTTTGAAGTGTGGGTGCGATTTCTGGTGTTTTTGTTTAGTAAACGGAATAACGTAGGACTCGTCGCCAAAATGAGCACATTTTTAATCGTTTTTCTTCTCTGAGAATTTATTTTAAAGCTCTTGACGGTGAATTTACAGAGAAGGGAGTTGCATTTTTTTTTAAAATATGCACTCCAGATTTTGACACTTTTAGAAGGAGGAGATCTCAAGGTTAAGAAGCCTTCTGAAAAATTGGAACTCATCGAAACTGGCTAAAAAAACTCACCGCCATTAATTCCATTACTGACTGCAAATTTGTGGTCTAGAATATTAAAATAAATTCCCAGAGCAGAGGTAATGCACGATTGCTTGACCTTAAGGGCCCGGGGGAAGATTTACTTGATTTTATGTTAGCAACAATAATTGCCAGGGCCCCAAGATTATTATCGCTCTGTTAGGTTACGACCACAATTAATTGACACCGTTTCTATGGGACACTCACGTTCAAAAGCTTTGGTTTTGTCACTGCTTTTGAAAAAGTTTCCCTCAAGTCCCTCAAGTTTTTGAAAAAAGTTGTTTCTTTTGTTCCATGGATACTCAAAATGCAATTCCTGCCATTAATTTGGCAATTCTAAGCCAATTTGTCCTCACTTTACGACCAAATATCTCCACTGCACAAGAGGGCAGATCGTCAAAAAAAACTCAAGTAAAATCTAAAGATATGATTAACGCATTAAACATAATTTAAAAAATCTGCCCTCTTGTGCATTGCTGAATTTTATCGTCAAAGTTGACGTGATTTCTAAGCAACTTCCCCCAGGCCCTTAAGTATCTAGGTAACGCGTCTCCCGGTTGCGGCAAATGGTCGAGTTACAAATAAAATATTCATTTTTAGCCCGAGTCAGGGCTTATGGAACCGTCATGTCCGTCCGTCTGTCTGTCTGTCCGGCACGATAGAGCCAAAACGGCTGAACCGATTGACTTGAAATTTTTACCACATGCATATTGGACAAAATTAGGAAACGAGTTCGAAGATGGGCGAAATCGGTCCAGTGATTGACCGGTGGGGGTCATCGGAGTGGGTGGGGTCTTATGCACCAAAATTTCAAAATTGTCGTAGAAAGCTGAAATTTGGCACAGAGGTTGCTAATGGCTCCTACTAGATAAAAATGACTTCAAGTTGGAAAAATTTTCATCTTGAGCGACCCTATGGGGTGACCCATACCGATTTTTAAAAACCATCATATCGAACTGAAATTTGGTGGAGAGGTTGCTTATGGGGTTTAATGAAAGAATATGATATGATATTGGTAAAATTGTTATCAGGAGCGACCCTATGGGGTGACCCATACCGATTTTTAGAAATTGCTTTAAAAAGATGGAATCCGGCACAATGATACTTAATGGCTTCTAATTAAAGAATATGAAGTTAAAAGTGAGCAAAGTGCAACCAGAGTGACCCTATCGGGTGACCCATACTGATTTTTCAAAATCGTTATATTGAGCTGAAATTTGATATGGAGGCTGAAAAAGTGAAAACCACTGTACATGCATACAGCTTAGAACTTCATGATGTTAAAGAAGCCCACTGGTCATGGTGGTCAAGGCACATGATTTGTAACTAATTCAAAAATTTGGTACCAAATAGTAGAAACTATCTAACAAACTTTTAACCATCCACAACACGGAAGTTGGTGATATTATGTCGGTCGGAAAAAAATTAGAAGTGGGCTGTGACTTATTGATTCAGGGACTATGTCCCTGACTCGGGCTATATGCAGTCTGCACTGTAGGTTTTTAAATCGTTGGTTCAAAAATGGCGTTTGAGTCTCCAACTACTTTGACCCTTAATAACTTTTGAATGGGCAGACATAGAGACTTAATTATTTAGGATAAAATCATCGTAATTTTTAACTTGATTTTTTAAGCTGAAAATCTAGAGGGTACTATTTCGAATAGTAAACTTAAAATCTCCAGTGTGCAGCCCGAGTCAGGGCTTATGTACTCGTCACGTCCGTCTGTCCGTCTTGCGATAACTGTTGTAAAACTAATCCGATTGAGTTGAAATTTTGCACGCATGCAGTATGGGTCAAATGAGGAGTTAAGTTCAAAGATAAGCGAAACAAGTGGTTGACCGGTGGGGGTCATATAAGTTTGTCGGGTATTATGTATAGAAATTGCAAAATCGTCGTAGAAAGGTGAAATTCGGTACAGAGGTTGATAATGGTTTCTACTGAAAAAATTTAAAGTAAAATTGTAAAAATTTATATCTGGATGGACCCTAGGGAGTGACCCATACCTAGGGGACCATATTTGTCCTGACTAAAACCGGGACATTTTTTGGGCAAAACATTTTTCCATAATATCTAGTGCTTGGCGAAAAGATTTGCCATAATATCTAGTTCCTGGCGAAAAAATTTGCCATAATATCTAGTGCTTGGCGATTCAAATATCACCGAATTTTGAGAATGAGCCAGGAAAGGAAATTAAGTAAATATTACATGGATGTTACTAGTATTTATGTACTAAAATATACTTTTTCATCAATATTTTGGCGAAAAAGTGAAATAATTTAATTTTTCCCGTTGATTTAAAAAACCGGGACACTTTATCAAAACCGGGACATTTTCGGGACGCCGGGACAGGGTTTGGAAAGCGGGACATGTCCCGGCTAAACCGGGACGGATGGTCACCCTACGGCCATACCGACATCTAAAACTCATCCAATAGAGCTGAAATTTTTGTGGGGATTGCTAATGGCTACTAATGGAAGAGTATGAATTGAAAGTATTTTCATCTGGGCAGACCCCATGGGATGACCCATACCAATTTTTCAAATTCGTCACATCGAGCAGAAATTTGATAGAAAAGTTGGTAATGGCTCCTAATGTAACAATATGAATTAAAATAGGAAAAAATTTCAGAGTTTATTAAGTTCGTGTTTTGTAATGGTTTATGCCAAAAATAAAATATATGCACATGTTCGTTACGAGTCCTGCTCTTAGAATCAGTGAATAATGCAATCTAAAGGCCCCGCAAAGTTGCTTTCTTTTTAGCCTCAGTCAGTTCTTATCGAACCATATGTCCTTCCGGAACACGATAGACAAAATGGCTGGACAGATTTAAAAAAAATATGCACCCCACAAGTTTAAATGTATTTGGTACAATAAAATTTCATTGAAAATGTTTGGTTTGACCAATAACCGCAGTCTGACTCGGGCTACATAAAGGCTGGAGATTTTCAGCTTAAAAAATCAAGCTAAAAATTACGATGATTTCATCTTTCAGAATTAAGTCTCTATGTCTGTCCATTCAAAAGTTATTAAAGGTCAAAGTAGTTGGTGTCTGTGAGATGGACTTCAGACACCAATGATTTTAAAAATAACTATTTTATTTGTAACTCGACCATTTGTCGTAACCGTTAAGGGTAACTAGGCACTAAAAGTCAAGCAATCGTGGAGGTAATGATTACAAATGTTTTGATTTTCAGCCAGGTTCGCTAAGTTACAAGTTTTCTGAAGGTTTCTTAAACTTGACATCTCCTCCTTCAAAAAGTGTCAAACTCTGAAGTGGAGTGTATATGTTATAAAAAATTAGCAACGACCTGCTCTATAAATTTATCGTCCAGAATTTTAAAATAGATTCCCTGAACCGAGAAATGATTAAAAATATGCTGATTTTGGCGACGAGTCATTCAGTTCTACGTTAACAGAGATTCTCCAAATTTTTTTGAGGGGTCACATTTTGTGGGAACTATTTAACACATAAATCGCACCCACCGTTAAAATAATCGCATAATTGTTGACTTGACATTTAAACTAAATTCTTCTGCTTTAACTTTAACTTTTAGCGCCATCTTGGACAAAGTCGTCTCCACCGCGGGCGACATTTATGCCTCCGTCACCGGGGACACATCCACCCAAACCACCGACAAGGTCATCCCAACTTCCTCCGTTGACACAGAACCTCCCAGACACAGTTCGGGGGCTGGGGCGTCATCCACAACGACGACGGATTCTTCTCCGCCTTCCAGCACACTTACGCCTGGCGGAAATAGTCCAGAAAACGGCGACGTCGTCGACGAATCCGAAGCGAATAAGAAGCATGACGAAATTGATCCAAGCCAAAATCGAAGCGCGGCCGAATTGGAGGACGATATTCTCGTGCAAGCCGCAGAAGGCGACGAGGAGCGGAGTAGCATTGCTGAAGCTGACATAGACGGAATTTCCCCCTCAATCCCCATCACGGCGAGTGGAGAGGGCAGTAGTTCCACGGGGGCAGGGGGAGGCTCGGAAGGATATGAACATATTGACGTTAACAATCCGGGTACGTTTAATGAACACATTTCCCAGCGGATGCTCTCCCATTTTGACCAAATTAGTGTGAATGGATGAAAAATTTAATTAGGATGACATTTGCGAAAGACACGATCTCCCAGTGGGCACGTTTGACACAGATATTTACATCCAAAGAGGAGAACAATTTTACGATATTCACTTCAATTTCAAGTACCCAAAATCTGGATTAAATAATTATATTATTTCTGTGCACAAACTTTGAGTTCTGGCTTTGTAGTCATACAAAATAGCCATTTTTTAAATAGTTAAGTTCTGCAAATAATTTGACCATGTTGACGATTTAAGCATCAAATCTATTAAAAACGAAAGTAAAAATGTTCAACAATTTATATTTTTATAGTTTTCTTTTGTAAATAGTGCTCAAAACTTTAATATATTTTAGTAAATATTGCAGATAAAATAAGAAAAAATTATGAGCAAGTTTGCGAATAAGTTGAAAAAGTTGCAATTTTTTTCGTGACAAGAACCTTAATCTAAGAAATGAACTAATTCACTAAAAAGTCGACAAATTTATTACAAAAGTGGAAAAATTATGAAAAAAGTCGAAAACCTTACGGATTTTTGGGATAGTTCTATGATAAGTCAAATAATTAATTAATATATTAATTATCTATTTCAGATTCCCCATATTTCAACAAGACTCCGGAAGAGATCGAAATCATGAAGCTGCAAGAGAAGCATATTGAAGATGACAAATTATTAAATTCCAGTGTCACCGATTACGAGATGTTTTCAAACTCTGGTAAATATGTTTCTGAACCATACTTAAATACGTGGGACTCGATTAATTACCACCCAAATCACCAAATTTGTAATCATTTCTCCGCTCTGGGAATTTATTTTAAAATTCTGAACGACAAATTTGTAGTCATTGAGTGGATTAATGGAATGGGGGTGAGTTTTGTTTGGCCAGTTTCGACGAGTTCCAATTTTTGTGAAGGTTTCTTAAACTTGAGATCTCCTCCTTCAAAAGCGGTCAAAATCTGGAGTGTATATTTTTACAAAATTAGCAACTCCCTGTTCCACAAATTCGTCGTCCAGAATTTTAAAATAAATTCCCAGAGGAGAGAAATGATTTCAAATTTGCTGATTTTGACGATGCGGCATCGAGCCCTACGTTAATTTTGACGACATTTGTTAACTAAAATGTTGTGTTTTTAAAAATAGTGTGGATCCAGGAGCAAGCATACATTGTCGAATACGCTTTGGAGTACGGATTCCTCCGTCTCTCTCCCGACACGAGGCAAAAACTGGGAATTCCTGTAAAGCTCGTGGTCCTCGATCCCAGCAAGGAAACCTGCTTTGGCGATTACTTTAGTCTCTTCGTACTCGAAAATATTTTGGGTTATGATGATATTCTGATGTCGGTAAGGTTTAAAGAAACATTAAACAATGAACATATGGATCAAACGTAAATAAATATTTGTGTTTTATTTTAGAGCATCAAAAATCTGGCCGAAACCGAAGAAAATAAGGGTTACTTGAGGTATGATTTTATTATCAAGCCCTGAAAATTGGTGGGCAAAGTACATGTCAAAATACGGTATTTTGAGCAAGGTTCGGATTTACCATGCTGTTACACCCACAAAAATAAGAAAATCTATGTGTAGAATGCAGCAGTCACTATAAAATACGGATTTTTTAAACAAATTAACTTTTTATCACTGCCAAAATACATTGTTTTCACGATTTTTTAAAAAATATAGCGTTTTAACAGCAATAAAAAGTTAATTTCTTTGGAAAACCTATAGTTTTCAATATTTTCGTGTTCTCCACGTAGATTCTGTGGGTGTACTTAACAGCCCCGAGAATCCAACCCCTGGGAAGAACGGGCTCAATTTTCGCAGTATTTTGTCCACTCTTGATTTTTGTAATTCCTAATTTTATACATACGGTAAATAATTAATTTACAGAAACGTCGTGACCGGGGAACAATTTCGCTTCGTGGTAAGTTTGCCCAGTATATATAGTAGTTCATAATACGTTTATACAATTTAATTGGTTATCTTATTTAAAATTTCGTATAGCCGATGTGGATGGCTCGAACATCTTACATTCCTGCTTTGCTGATCATGCTAGTTTTTGTAAGTTCTTAACCATGGTCAATCTATTTACTATGAGATGATAATTCCTGTTACTAAAATTCTGTCCCATTTTTTACAGACCGTTTCAATTTCCATGCTTCTCCGGTACTCGCACCATCAAATTTTCGTCTTTATTGGTAAGTTTCTTATCTTACATACTTCTATTGTTTTTTTTAATAGGACTCGACGAATCGTCGCCAAAATCGTCAAAAACCAGCACATTTTAAAATCATTTATCCGCTCTGGGAATTCATTTTAAAATTTGTAGAGCAGGTCGTTGCAAATTTAAAAAACTGTATACTCCAGACTTTGATACTTTTTAAAGGATCAAAGGATCAATCTTTTTAAAGATCTCATATTTAAGAAACCTTCAGAAAAATTGGAACTCGTCGAAACTGCCTTAAAAAACTCAACGCCATTCCATTAATCAACTCACTCACTACAAATTCGTCGTCCAGAATTGTAAAATAAATTCCCAGAGTGGAGAAATGATTTAAAATGTGTAGATTTTGACCATTTTGGTCATGAGTCATCGAGTGTCATGTTAAATATCCAGCTACGCGTTCACACTTGCGCCATAGTTAAACTATTTATAATATTGGCGCAAGAAGCGAGTGCCCGTATAATAATTTATCCTATCCAATTCCTCCCTTTTGGCTAAAACTAGCCATCCAAGGAACGAAACTTGTTACATATTCTTCTTTCCAGTCTGAATTGTGATGAGGTCTGGCTGCTGGTGAAAGTCGAAGCGGAAACAAATTTGTTCCTGCTGCTTGCTTTCCCTGATTACACGTGACATTGATGAATGGCTGAATTTTTATTGTGATTTTCTTCTTTCAGTCGACTTGCTGAACAACATTGAGGGTGCGGCGGGAGCCATACATATCCCGGCCGCTCCATTATTCACCGTTATTCTCGCACTCGTAGGTACGTGTCGATTTTTTGTTTCTTGGACTAAAATCAGTCTAAAATTTATGAAACCATTCTCAAATTTGTGAACTTTCACTACTTGAGTTATTTTTTCTATGAAATTTTTTGAATTTCTTGGACTAAAATCATGTTAAAATTTAGGAACTTTCACTACCTTAAAATCGTTTTTTGGACACCAATCATTTTTCAATTTTACAACTACTTGGTTTTTTTTACGGGAAGAATGTCATCCCAAATTGTACAAAGTAATTCAATATCTGAGCCTTTGTCGGATTGCCGCAGGTTGAAAAGCAGTACAAATCCTAGCATAATTGTCAGAGGGTGGATATGTATTGCGGGTGTGTTCCCTAACTCGCATAGGTCACAAAAGTTTCAAAACATTTTTCTAGGTTTTATAAATATTTCCGCTATTTTTTGAAAACTACGTAAATCTTTTACATACTTTTTTTTTATTGCAAACAGTTTGAAAATAGTTCAACGGTGTGAAACGATCTTTTTCTCAAAGAAATTCGGCCACATAAAATTCGGCCTTCAGTTCGGTTCATTCGGCCTTCAGTGTATTAAAGTCAAAAGTAAAAAATTTTTCTAATATTCTAATTTTTATTTTTTTTTTGTACATATTTCGTTAACCCTTTAAACTGTAGCGACGACAATAGTCGTTTTATAAGAAATGGTTTAATTCGGGAGTACGACAAAAGTCGTCCTGAAAAATCGTGGTCATGGCGCGGAAGGACGACAATTGTCGTTTCTAGGAGGTCATTGATTTTCACCATTTTCTCTCCGCGACCTAAAATTTGTTGCAATTTTGAGGGATTTCTCCTATGCCAACACAATGCTAAATTTGAAGATTTTCTTCCCAAAAATTTGGATATTTCCCTATACAACGCAATGTTAAATTTTTGATTTTTCAGTTTTTCGAGTTTTATTAAAAACTCCTGAATTTCTCCTCCCGCGCCATGACCACAGCATACTTATAGTGTCCCCGATTTAATGCATTTTCTTGTCGTTAATCATACACGTTAAAGGGTTAAGATTAAATACCAATTTTAGCGATTTTTCGTGAATACATATACACCCTCTGATACATAATTGTACCTCTGAATAAAACCGGGTGTACATAAATCCCTCTTGAATTTAGCAGGTACTTTTACCTCGAAGAGAAAAAGTATTTTTCCATCCTCGTTCGTGGAAGAACAATCTCCATTTTCATTTTGCTAATAACCGAGATTTTTCTCAGGGCGAGAATTTCCTTTACTTTCACCAACGTGTGTATATCATGTATGTATGTCCCTTCCAGACAAATCTCTAATTTCAATTACTTTGATTGCCGAAGAAAACTTGCGACTTGCGACAAAAGTACTCTATTATCATCACATGTAGTAATTTATTCATGTTAGTTAAGTGTAGTGCATTGCATTGCATCTGGTGGGTTTTGGGATGAGATTTCATTTCTCCTGGCTTTTTCCATCTGCCCAGCACACCAGGTAATAAAAGTGAATAGTTTTTGTGACTATGAGGCGACGTAACGTACGTAATTGCCTAAACCATACATATGCTTTCTCCACTTGACTCTCATGAAGTGCAGATGGAGGGGATGGGCTCATAATGTGGACATATGTTCGAGAATAGACATGGGATGGATGGACGGATGGGTGTCGAAATTGTCGAATTGAATTGATCTCTCTCGTGGAATGGAATTGGATGAGATTAGATGGGAATCATTTCACGTCGTAAAAATGCAGAGGTCTGTCTCTTAGTCCGGCTTATTTGTGTAATTTGTTGCCCGTTTTACTTGTTGTTAGTCCCGGTTGTCTCTTGAACTTGCACATTTTTACTCTGTTAGTCCCTTTTTTGTGTAATTTGTCGACCTTTTTACTTGTTGTCTGTCTCTTGAACTTGCACATTTTTACGGAATGCAGCTATGTATCTCTGTTTGTCAGTTCTGGTTTTTTTTGTCGCCCGTTGCACATTTATTTGCACTGATAACTGAAATTAGACGGGATTGTTGCACTATATTTTTTGTCCTGAATTTGAATAAGATTTTCATTTCTGAAATAGATCAGGGTTATAAATATCACTCATATTACATACGAGTTTGTTTCAACTTGACACGTAATGAGCCCTGATTTGGGGTTGGATTGCATTTAATGGGTTGGCTTTTGCTCGTGGGCAGCGTAGAGAATGGAGAAAATTAAGTGGTACGCAATTACATGTGAATACATGTAAATTACTACGTAATGCTCATCTTCATACATAGATCTTCCCTTTGAAGCCTTGAATTTGAATTAGCCGAGTATTGTCCCTTTCCCTTGGTTAGTGGGCGGGTAGATTTTGGTCGGAAATCTGCCCATGCATGCAGCTTGCACTCGTTTGAATCATCTCTGTCTGTACAATTTGTGGGTCTCTTGTCCCTTAAATTATTATCCTTCCTGATTCCTGGTACTAGAGACGGATCATGAAATCATCATGGAGCTTGTTGTTTGCCTTAGTTAGTTAACTACGCGTTTCTGTCTCAAGTGCTCTCATTATCCTTTTGTTCGAGTCGAGTGGTTTGATTCCATGAAGTCTCGCTCGCTCCGTTTTTTTCCGGTAGGAAATTTCCTACAGAAATGTAGATATGTAACAAAATTGCTGGAATCAGATTTCGTTTCTGCAAGTATTTATTTATATGTACCAGGCCTACGTAAATTGGCGTATAAGTTCGACAGTTTTAAATCGATGGTATTTCATGAAATGTTGTTTTTTTTGTGTGGAAAATTTCCAACAAAAATGTAATCATTACCAAAAAAAATTCCTGTTTTACGGGAGGGGGGATATGTTTGTGTTTGCGAAAAATCACTGAAACACGTACTTAATACTTATGAAAGAAATGCCAAAATATTTACGAAATACGTACGAAAAATAAGAGTTTTCTAACAATTTATATTCTTGAATTTCATACTGTGGATTTTTTTATCCAATTTCTTTGACAAAAAAAATCCTCTCATGTCGTTGAAATATTTACAAAAATTTATATATTTTGAAAAAAATATGTAAATGTTTTACGTATTCTTCAAATAATAGCGGAAATATATAACGATATATAAAAACATTTGTAAAAAATATAATTTTCCCGTAGAAAATTTTCCCCAGAAATGTAACGATAACCAAAAAATCAACTGTAAGCAGATATTTTCATACATACAGCATATGTAAACATACCATCCTCGCACTCAGCCCTTGCACCTCATTTGCATATTTTAACGCATTCGCGAGAGCCATAGAGTTTATTCAACATGGAAAGCTCGTATCGCCGAAAATGGGCTATTGAGATTTATGCAAATGAGGTGCAAAGCCTAAGTACGGGGATAGTACATAGGCGCATGGAATAGGATCCGTGTAACCCCCCTGCCCCCTAGGTATCCACAAATGTCATCTTTCCCGTAGAAAAATTTCCCCAAAAATGTCATGATTCCCAAAAAATCAAGAGATATTTTCACTCCCAGACATGTAAACTCCGTTTCAAGCTGTCTGAGTTCACCGCCTTGAGGACATTACATTACATTATCCGAATGAGCCGAATTATTTTATTATTTGAGACCACTTATTTTTATTTTGGTGTTTAAATTATTCAATTTCGTGTGATTTCTACGCCAGAATTAAAATAAGTGATGTAAAATAATAAAATAATTCGGCTCATTCGGATAATGTAATGTAATGTCCTCAAGGCGGTGAACTCAGACAGCTTGAAACGGAGTTTAATCGGATTCGTTTAACCCCCTTTCCCCTAGATTTTTCCACAAAATGGCACAATTTTTCCCAAAAATGCAATAATTCTCAAAGAATCTACAGGCAGCAAGACATATTTTCATTTCCAGACATGTAATAGGATCCCTTTAACCCCCTGCCCCCTAGGTATCCACAAATGTCATCTTTCCCGTAGAAAAATTTCCCCAAAAATGTCATGATTCCCAAAAAATCAAGAGATATTTTCATTCCCAGACATGTAATCGGATCCGTTTAACCCCCTACCCCCTTGGTCTCTCTTTCCTTTTCTTCTCCATTTTCCTCTCCTCGCCCACTGCACTGCAGCCTGATTCCCTTTCATTTTCCTTATTCAATTAATTACTCTCTCCATCTAATCCTGACTTGGAGTTTGGACACCTACCGACTCGACAAAGACGGTACGACAATCCTCCTTCTCCTCGTGTTGTTTTAACACGAGGAGAGAGGAGAAAGGAGGACGACGAGAACAGCGTGACATGAAAGAAAGTGGAGAAAGAAAGAGAGAGGAAATGAGAATAGAATTAGACGCGTGTTCTCCTATTTATGGAGAATCGAGATGGATGAAGGGTCCCGCTGTGAGGTGACTTAAGACTTTGTTTTGCAATTCAAAATGAACGACACGACCAGAGACCAGCGCACGGAGGGAAAAATCGTACAAATTCTGGACAAAACCTGGGACAAAGTTAGTCTCAATTTTTGTTCTCTTAAAAAATCCTTCAAATTTTGATCTCATGATTTCTCCAATATAAAAGATCCCCCAAATTTTGATTTGTTATTTTCCCCTCAAAAAATGGTCCCCACATTTTTATCTCTTGTTCCCCCCCACAAACAAAGTCCTTCAAATTTTTATTACCCTTGTTGACAAATTTTTTACGGTGGAAAGCCGGGTTTTTCCCCAGTTTACACGTTTCAAATCCCACCCACGGATTTAGAATGTCCAAAGAAATTTAAAAGTGGTACAATAATTGACCCAAATTTTACTTTTTGTTAACACTAAAATTACAAAATTAAAAAAAAATTGACCTTGCATTTTTTTATCAGGTTATAAATAGCATCTAATTCTTTTTTGTTAGATTTTTTAAGGAATTTTAGGCACGGGGCATTTTACGACTAATTTTGTCCAGAATTTCACCGATCAGCCCCACTGTGCAGTCCAGAGAGTAGAATTTCATTCACTTTCTCCTCGAAAACTAAAGTAAAAGGGATAACTTAGTTTTAGATGAGATCTCACTCACTCACTCACTCGCCTGTCTGTTCACTTAATTATTTCGTTGTCTCTCTCTCTCTTATTTGTTCTGGATTCTGGGATGAATTTGAATTCTCTCTCTTCATTCGTCTTCATTCATTCATTCATGTACATACATACATATTTACTAATGGCTCGTCGTTTTAGGATTACGGGAAGACATGACTCTTGCCCCCTGTCGTATTTTTGCAGTAATTTGCATATTAATGCGATATATTTGTATTAACGGAAATGCTATTTACATGACTCTTGCTCCTTCGTTGTATTTTTGTAATATGCAAATTAATTAATGCAATGCGATATATTAGGATTAACGGAAAAGCGATTTTGATCGTATTTTGTTAATATGTCTCCGTAATTTACATAATTTGAAGAAATGACTGCGTTGGCCCCTGTCGTATTTTTGTCCCCTTCTAATTTTCATAATTTTTATTAACGGAGATGCTATTTTTATCGTATTTTTGTAATGTGTCGCAATAATTTGTATTAATGAAAGCCTTATTTTTATCTCATTTGCAGGGATGGAAGCAATCATGTCGGAGTTTTTTAACGATAGTTCGACCGCTTTTTACGTCATCTTGATTGTCTGGATTGCCGATCAGTACGACGCCGTTTGCAGCCATACCAGCATAACAAAGACGTTCTGGGTCAGGTGAGTTTATCCAAATAATTAACTTTTAAAATTTTATGTCCTCTTTAAAGGTAGTTTTGGTGCAAGTTTCGGATAAAATTAGGCGAAAAGTGGGAAAAATTAGGCTTGTTTTCTTATTTTTTTAGCTGTCATTTTATTATAAAAACCTGGTTACATATCCAGAATTATGTAATCATTGTCAGTAGTATTGACATTTGCAACTTTCTGATGCACAGTTTTGCCGCAATAATTTTCTTGCAAAATTTGGAGAAAAGTGGCCAAAATTAAACTATTTTTACTTATTTTACTCGACGTTTCTTCATATTTTGTAAAAACCTGGTCACATTCCATTTCTAGACGTGTCCTCCACTTGACAATATAAATACAGTCTTTCTTGTGCAGGGTTGCATATGCAAAATTCACGGTGGTGACAAATAAGTGGCATTTGTAATTTTATGCTGCACACATTTTTATGACAGTTTTCTTGCAAAATCTGACCAAAAAGTGGTCGAAATTAAACTATTTTTACTTATTTTACTCGACTTTTCACAATTTTGGTTTATAAAAGCCTGGTAACATTCCATTCCATTTTTAGACGTCCTCCACTTGACAAATGCATAGCTTCCTTACCGGGTTGCATAATACCCACTCCCGGTGGTGACAAATACATGGTGAAAGGATGACCATTTCTCACTTCCATGCACCACCACAATTTCTCTCCCCTCTCGTCTTCCCCCTCGCCTGTCTCTCCTCTGACCCAAAGAGAATGAGTCTCGGAGGCATAAAGATCTGTGCAAATTGTTACTTTATGACCGATCCGGGGAAGTTGTTGGGAATAAAAACTATTCATCCCCAGATTTACTTAATTGACAAGTGGAGAGGTTGCCAGAACGATTGCGGGGATGGGGGCAGTCGGAATATATATAGTGGGACATACTTGATACCTGAGGAGGATTTAGATTACTGCCGGTACTTTCTCTATCGGTATGTGCCCAGGGTTTCGTTACTTGCACGGCCATCATACCTGTTCACTTTCATTCATTCATTTAACTTATTATGATGATAGTGTTTGGAAATGAAATTCCTCTCATTTGAATGAAAATGACTGAAGGATTCCATCATTTCAGTTGAATAACCTAACTGTGAATGAAAGGATTTTTCACTGGTTTAATCCATGAGGCGAAGTAAGAAATGAAGTGAGATGAAATGAATTTGAACTAAAATGACTGAATGTGAGTGAAAATCTTCCGTCAGGAAGAGGGATGACTGACTTTTGAATGAAAACCAAGTTTTTGAACAGGTATGACAATGCAATGCAATGCGAGAAACTGGGCGCCATCTTGGCATTAGGGCGATGCGCAGTTTTTAGCGCCTCGCATTTCTCCCAGGTCGCAATATTTACCTGCAAAAAACACCACTTTCTCCCCCTTATTTCTTGCACGTGGTTCCTTACTTTCACCTGAAACCCTGTCAACATATGTCTACATACTTTGTATGTCTCTTCCTCTCTCTGAGTGTGGGTGGGTGGATTGGCCATATAGGAAATATATTTATGAGGTCATGTCCGTACATTTCCACTCTGTCAACACGAAGCTACCCACGTCGTCCGTAAGCTAAGCCATCCTCCTTACCATTAAAAAGCCATCCGTGGAGTTCTTAGCGGAGGAAATAATTGAATTGCGGAGCTCATTTAGTTCCACGGCGTGTGTGTCGGGAGGACCGTAAAAAAACCCAATATGTGTGCCCGCCACCCGTCCCTCGAGACATTCCTTCCTTCTGTCGGCTTCATTTCCACGACTTTCTCCTCATATTTTCCACCATGCGAGTTAGTCAACATTGCCTCCACTGCCATCATTTCAAACCCAACAACCACAATATGAAATGGGCTGTTTGAGTCTCATTGGTTTCGAATAGGCTGTCTTGTTTTTGGTGGAAATGCGGCTGCTGTTTTTGCCCGGTGAGGGCTTATGTGCCCGGCAGGTTGTCTGTCTGTCTATTGATTATGCACGTGAAGCTTATCCAGTTGATTTGCAGACACACGGAAAATTAGGAAGATGAAGAAACTGTGTTAAAAATTGTCGTGCATCGGATTGTACCCACCTTAATTAATGCGGACAACATGACTTGGGCTAAATAGGGTTTTTTTTAACTCGAGTCGGGGTTCATGTAGTCGTCATTATGTTTGTCTGTCTGTCTATCCATTACGCACGTAAAGCTTATCGCATTTAAATTTTGGAAACTAGGCTCCATTGATAGATTTTTAGACCGAGTCAGGGATTATGTACCTGTGATTATGGTTGTTTGTCTGTCCATTACGCTCGTAACACGTGTGCAATCGACTTGAAATTTTGCAGACACGTGGAACATGCACAATTAAGAATTATGAAGTAAGAAGATGTGTGGAAAAATGGAAAAATTGTAGTGATCGTATTATTAGGAAGACCCTGACTCGGGCTATGCAATGCTGTTTTTTTGTCACTGCATTATTCCGCTACCGACTACCTATCAGGATGATCATCTTCCCTCTGGAATCTTGAGTCGAGTTGCTCGCACCGCATTCAATTCGACTTCTCTCTCATTTCTAAAACATTTGGAGAAAACAGATTCCTCATGTTTTTTTGGTGGTGGTGAGTTGGTGACATCGACCATATTTCTCTTATTAGTGGATGGACGAGATGAAGGAGGAGGGGATGCAATGTCAAGTCGTATCCGCTACTTTTCCGCGAGACAGACCGCTGCTTTCTCTGGAAATCTGATGATTTCCAAAATTTCCTGAAATAGATATAAATAAATACGTAGGAATGCAGCAGTTTATTTGCAAGCATCATATTAAAAATCATATACTTATTTATGCATACAAACGTGCGAAAATTGTGCACTAGAAGAAATCGCAAATTATCTACTAATTGCAAAAAAAAGAGTCGCTCAATTACTAGTTTTTACAGTTTTTATAATTTACATATGTATTAGTGGACAGGATGTTGAATTTTGATGCATTCCTGTATATATACCGAGAATTGGAAATCTGGAAAATCTGGAAATTTGGGAATTTATGTATCTATTTCTGGAAATAATTATAATTAGCGAATAAGCTGACATATTCCCTGCTTTCTCCACAAATCTTATGATTTCCAAATTTCCGAAAATAAATTTTTAGATTTGCAGGATTTCTTAATATGCAAGAATGCAGCAAAATTTCTATTTTTCCCTTGCATCATATTGGAACCCTTTACGTATTTATTTATACCCGGGTAACGATGCTACGTTCGTTTTTTTACACGCTTTCCTTCATTTTAGGGGCTCATTTTCTCATGAATTTAAAACGCAGGGGGGATTATTACTACCTGCATAGCTTTCTCTCTCTCCCTGTGTACAAATTGGGTTTCCTCCTCGTCTCCTTGGCTTATCCTACTTTGTGCAGAAGATAAGATTTTGTGTTAGAAATTGAATTAGATGAATTAATATCCCTGCGAAACTAGGGATCTCCTCCGGATGGAAATGGGGTTTAATCTCTACCCGATTTTTTCTTAACCATGTTTCTTTTTTTCTCTCCAGGTTCTTCTACCTCTACCATTTCGCCTTCTACGCGTATTCCTACCGATTCAATGGACAATACGGCGGACTGGCGCTCCTCGTCTCGTGGTCTTTCATCCAGGTAAATTCATTCACTCTTAAAAATCTAGTTAATATGAACCCCGCATTGATTTGGTAATAATTTCTTATCGGATTGTTAGTAGTTTGGTTCCCACTGGTCATTACTACAATATTACTAAAGAGGGCAGGTTAACTGCCTGTTATTACTGGTGCCGGTAGAGTCGCATAAATCCATACGTACTCCGATGGGTAATGATTTAATACCAGTTTTCTCAGAGTCTGTACTGTCAAAAATCTAGTAGAGTGAGATATACACATATTAACTGGTATTTGGTAATAACTTCCTACCAGGTTGGTGGTGGTTTGTTTCGCAGTGGTAAATTCTTCATTACCACAACATTACTAACTGGTAAAACTCGTTTATTATCAGTGCCCTTAGAGTCACATACTCCGGTCAGTAATGATTTAATACCGAACTTTGTTAAGAGTGGCTAGAAAAATTTGCATGATTTTCTTTTTCATTACTTTACACCCATTGGAGGGCTGACCATGTCACATTTTTGTAATTAGTTTGATGCCACATTTTCCCTGAAGCGTTGTAGCATTAAATTTAAAGAGAGGGACTTTACATACACAGACTTATGACTTGTGTGCAGGGGCCGCGTATATAGAGAGATCATGTCCCCGTCATCTGTCCGTCTTGTATAAACCCCTCTCTCCCCTACACTACAATGCTGATGTCCCCACAGCTTCCGCGGTCACTGCATGCTCTTTGTGTGTGTACTTAGCCAAGTCACGGCTTCATTGCATCGTCATTATTCTTTTATTTGGACGAAAATACCCACAAACAAATGGCAGCGGTCGTGGTGGGCGAGGAGGGAAAGCATTTTTGTCGCGGGTAAAAGCGCCCTTGGGGCTTCATTTTATGAAACGGAGAGAAAAAGGGAGAGTGAAAGTGTTAAACAAAAGTCCAATCCTGAGGTTTGGCCACCAAAATATTTTCCTTCCCAGAAATTTTCTCTTTTTTAGACGACGACACAATTTATATCTGGTTTTCGTTGTTTATAATGGTCTTGGAATGATGACTATTGCCAAGTAACGGTACGAGAAGAAGAAGAAGAAAATAATCTTACGTAATGCACACTCACTCACTGCCCGTGTTTTCCAATTTTGTCCTTATTTTCTGACATGGGTTACCTCGGGCTATTAAAAACTAGAATATTTTTATATATACCTTCACTTTTTCGGGAGGATGTACACACATTTTTCTGTATTTTGGTCTCTTCTTGTTTCTTAACATGTGCTGCGATTTCCCTGCTCAATTGACATTATAAAATATCCACCCTTAACTTACTTATTATGGAGTGGGTGAGGCAGTCGTGTGGAGAGGGGTGGAGGTTTAAGTTGCTGTATCACAATCACATCATCAAGAGGATATTTCCTATTTTATTTTATTTTTTCTTTACTGGATTGGGTTTCATAAGAAAATTAATGACGTGATTATATCTATTTTTCAGTCCTCACATCTGTAATTTTTAGTTGGTGTAGTACTCCGCTATTCTTACTTTCTCCTCCGTATGCATTTAGACTTTTCTAATTTAAGACCGACTTAACTGGACGCATTGAGGAATTTCTAAACCAAGCCGCAACTAATTGTTAAGCGCATCCCTCTCTCGAGGCCACTTGTACCTTTTCGGTTTAAAAATACGATCCCCACGATTCGTTTTGCCAATCAAATAAGAAGCACAAAGACGGAATGGAGAGATGAAGTAGGTACGTTTTTGGATTATTTATCCTGAGCAGAATTGCACTCAAATAAATATGAGGATGGATAGCATTTTCCTCCCCGACTTAATTTCTTTTTATTGGACTCAAGACAGTGATCGGGCATCCCCTGATTCAATTGTTTTAATTACACGGGTGAGAGATTTATAAATTCCGGGAATTTAATGAATTACTCCCCATGTTAATTAGTTTTCTCCTCATCTGCTCCTACTCGTCGAGAACTTGTTCCAGAGAGAAAGTTACAGTTTGAAATTGCATTATTTCGTAAACTTGCGTAAACTTACTTATTAGTGAACTTGTTTATTTCAATTTGTGCGTAAGTAGATTTTGGATTGATTTTTTGTCCCTTATCGTCATGCCACCGTCTCATTAGAAACAATTGAACGACGATTTATGAGGAAATCGTGTATCTGATCGAGATAAGATCGCTACACGAGTCGAGTGAAAGCCACGAGGAGAAAGTTTGTAAAGCTGATTTGTCGAAATCATTAATTTGCATAGAAATTTGAATCTGTCGGTTCGCCTTATTACTAATCACTCCGGTAATTGGCAAAAGATAAGACGAGATGTCGTTGGATAAGTGTAATGGTCATGTTATGTCATGTCATATCTCGTCTCGTGGCTTGTCACTGCTGTTGAAGGAACTTCTTTGTAACGATTATGGGCACGATTTTGGCTGGATTAAGTCACTTGATTTCACCATAAAAAGGACGATTATGCCATGTTTATGTATGCATGCAGGAAGATACTCAAACTTGATGTAGATTCAATTACGGGGCACTAATTTTGAGGCATAATTTTTATTAGAAAATCGTTAAAATTTTGGATGCAGTTTTTTGGGGAAATTCCTCGTCAAAATTTGTATTTCTATTTTTTTATATAAAAATCATATCATTCCTACATGTTTTAATTTCAATTTGAATTTTGCGTCAAAAAAATTGGAAGAAAGTTCTCGTCATAATTTTCATTCTATTTTTATTTATAAAAAGACATGCTTTTTTGGGACCCTATTTTACAATTTATGTGTTTTTGTTTACAAAAATTTGAGAAAATTCTCTCGTTATAATTTTTATTATACGAAATCCTTCCGCAATAATATATCCTGTTCAAATTTTATTTTTACTTGTAAACAATTTCATGAATTTTTCCCTTAAAATTTTATTTTCTTCCCCGTACAAAAAAAACAGGTCTAAAAATTCCTCGGGCTTCTTTTTTCATGAAAATATGGCTCTAAATAATGCAATGAAGTGCCCGACTTATTATGATCGTCATCTTTCCTTCTCGTGAATACGTAATGAAGTTCAACTCGTTGTCGTCGTCGCCATCGTCACTTGTTCTTGTGCATTGCATTTCCTGTCTCATATTTTCCCTCATTTCGAAGGCCATGATGATGCGATGATGGATAATAATAGCATTACATTTCTGCTCAACCAAGTTTAACTGCTGTCTCACATCGCGTCAATTTAGCGCAGAACGGCACTCACAAGGGAGGTCGACCAGCGGATGCTATCTGATTTTGGGCAAATTAGTCTCAATTCTATGGAAAATTTGATTAGGATGAAATTTGCAAAAAGACAAGATCTCCCAATGGGCATGTTTGGCCGAGATGTTTGCATCCGAAGAGGAAAAACGCGCCTTAAAATCGATAAAGTTGACACTTTATAAGTTTATTTTTCAAAATTTTCTGAATCAAATTGGGTATCTGGTCATGTTTAATTATTTAAATTTGTTTTGAATATTTTTTTCTGACTTTGAGATATTACAAATTTTACACTTTCCAAATTTACTGCGCGTTTTCTCCTCCTCTGATGCAAATATCTCTGCTAAATGTGCCATTTAGATAAAGTGTCTTTTGAAAATTCCATACTAATTAAAATTGTCACCTGATTGATTTGATTTGATTTGATTTGATTGATTTATTGATACTAATCTTCCCTCGGGCCATGATCCCATGGAAGATATAAACTAAAATTGTCACCTATTCGCACAAATTTGCCCAAAAACGGATGGCATCCACTGGGAGACCTCCCTTATCGTGAGTGGAAGGAAGGACGATTCGGAATTGATGGGCGGCGGTGGTGAAGAAGTGAAGTGGTGATGGAAGTTATTTGCATTTTAATTGTTTACTGCTACTCCTTCCTCCACTACGGCGGCATATTGCCAGCCAGCCATCGAGCGAATGAGGGGCTGGTCGTGCAGGGTGATGAATATAAATGACAAATCTGTTAAAATTTTACGCTTACTTTCCCTCCTTCCATCCATCCGTCCGTCCACGGGATTAATGAGGTTGATAAGTTGAGACGACGGATTTGCTCGAGAGAACGGAGGAGGATGAGACACTTGTAGAATATTTTTGGAAAAAAAGAAAGTACAAGTTTTTACTTCCTAGGCTACATTATTTTTATTCGATTGAGGGTGAAAGGAGCAGAGATGGGCAAAATACAAGGATTTTGAGCCCGTTTCTTCCCAGGGTTAGGATTTCCGGGGGGGGGGGGGGTTAAACTTAAAAAGACGAAAATCTACGTGAAAAAAAGCAACAGTCAGTCCAAAATGCGTTTTTTTCTAAGAAATAAACTTTTTATCGGTGTCAAAATACAGAATTTTCAAGAAATTAAGAACTCGGATGAATTTAGAAAATAAATAATTTGACAACAAAATCTGTAAAAAAAAATCTTTCACCCTCAAAAATAACCAAAGGAGCATTGGATCTAATACTACATTTTAAACAATAAAATTTACCCAGATTTATTTCCGGTAACAAAATCTTGCAATTTTATCAAACTTTAAAATTTCGAAAAACTACATGTTTCATGACAAAATTAGCTCTTTAATTGCTTTCAAAGTAAGTATTTTATAAAAGTCGTATAAAAAATGTACTAATTTTGACACAAGTTAATTTCTTGACAAAATCCGTATTTTCTTGAAACTGTTGCCTTTTCCACGTGGATTTTCGCCTTTTTGTGGGTGTAACAGCCCCGGAAATTAAAACCCTGGGGCTCAAAATACAGTATTTTGCCCACCCCTGGTGAAACTAGACGGCACGAGTGAGTTAGTCCGTTAGGAAAATTGTTTCGGATGAGGGCGGTAAGTTAAGCGTTGTCATAAACGTTTTCATTATCATCCTCTACTTATTTATTACCCGGTTCTTCATTTCATCCACCATTGTAAATAAATACGTATGTATATTTTGAGAAGCTAGTGAAATAAAGTCACTACTTCCTCCCGAAATTTCGGTTTTACTTACTTCACCGGGTTATCATTAGCTTTTGTTTTACTCGGTTTGATATTGTTTTGTAAGCGGGGTTGCTTTCTGTAATGGAAATGAATGGTGGATAGATTTGTGTGCAGATATTATTGCATCAAGAGCACTTTAGCGGAGGAGAGAGGAGATGATGATACGGGTCGTGTGGGTAGTGACCGCGGAAGCCGTGTGGTGGGACATCGGGGGACATAAACATTGTAGGATGGGGGAGGGATGGGTTTACATAGAATAACCTTGGGGACATCATACCTGTTCATTTTCATTCATATGAGTTATTATGATATTGAATTAAAATGAATTTCCTGTGATTTGAATGAAAATGAGTGAAAGATTCCGTCATTTCAGATGAATGACTGTGAATGAAAGGATTTTTTACTCATTTCATTTTTCACCCTATGCTTAATACATGGGGCGAAGTAAGAAATGAAGTCAGATGAAGTGAAATGAAATGAATTTGAACGAAAATGACTGAATGCGAATGAAAATATTCCGTCAGAAAGAGGAGGGATGGCTGAACTTTGAATGAATGAAAAAGGTTTTTTAACATGTATTGGGGACATTGGCAGCCCCTCTGTCCCCACGGCTTCCGCGGGCACTGTGTGCTGGTGGGATGGGGGGTCGTATAAACTACATATCCATCCATTAGGAGAGCAGCTTGGGTTCCATTATTAGCCATTAAGATTACTTGTGAAGCGTCGTATTCATTGAATATGGTTGACAGCGTGAGACCAATATTAGTCACGGGATCAGACGCTCCGATTAAGTCTGGGCAGAAGTGGTCGTATTATTGTCCTCCTTGTTATTTATTTCCGACCAGTATTTAATTTTGGAAGGAAGAGGAGCCTAGCTGTACAACAAAAAGCCAATTTCCTGTAATGAAAATTAAATGAAGACTTGGCAAACGTTTATTTGTTGCTGAATATGTATTTTATTTGACGTTAAAATTTGCTGATCAAAATTTTGAACAAGACTTATGAAAAGTTAAGACATGTGTAAAATCACTTTCGTAAATTATTCAGGCAATTTACTTACGCAGTCCGTTGTAAACCATCCATAATTCCTGCGTAAACTTACAAACTTTGACAAATATTTTGAAGGGAAATTAACTTGCGAATTTTTGCAAATTTGCTAATTCAGGGCAAGGGTGTCTCTTTATTTTGTAAATAGCAGTTTGTAAATTATTTTAGGAAACGCACAGATTTTATAATGTTACCAATGAATAACTGCGTGAATTTCCGCATTTTTTTGTTGCAAATTATTACCATGAAATATATACTAAATGAAAATTTGTATAAAAAAAGGATCACATTTTATTTATGAATAAACCTATTTTTTTTTTACTTTTCAGCATTCAATGGTCTTCTTCTACCACCACTACGAACTCCCCGCCATACTTCGCCAAGCGCATCAAACCCACTACCCGACCAGACTCCCCACCACGCGACAAGCACGTGGCGGGTCAGCCCCACCAGACCCCACACCTTCCCCTGCCCCTCACCCCAATCCCGAACAATCATCTGTACCCCCACCCCCCACAAATAATCCCCCTTTAACAACCCCAACCCCCTCAACCCCTCTAATTTCCTCGTCATCCCCACTCTCCCCCACGACACGGCCACACTGGTCAACGTCCACCCGGGTAGCCCCCGTCATCACAGAAACTTCATCATCTTCAGACGTCCCCCTCGCCCCCACAATTTTTAACCGGGTATCACCCGAAAACGTCGCCTCGTTACTGCTCCAAAATGGTCGTGGAGGAGCAGAATCCAGCCCCCAAGACGTCGCCCCAACTATTTTTAATCATCGGGGAGAGTCCTCACTACTTCGAGCTGGTCAAAGTGGTGGTGGTGAAAGTAACACAGCTTGTAACCGTGTGAGCAGTGGTGGTGTGAATAATAATGAGTGTAATCCGACCCCAAAAGTCCACCACGATGTCGTCGTTACGCAAGAAGAAACTCCTCTTCCTCCTACTTCAAACCCCGCTCAAATTACGACTTCTCCGAATTTTAGTGAAAGTCAGAGTCACCACGACCAAGGAAATCTCGGCGGAGTGGTGAATGCTTCTGGTATCTCCTCCTCTGGTCTCCTCTCGCCGCATCAGGATGGTGACGGCTTAAGACATCGATTTCCTACGAGTGATGCTCCTGCTGATGGAGAAGGTAAGAGGGAGAAGAAGAAAGTTTGGGCTAATTAGTGAAATCTGAGGTTTCTGCGTGTAATCCTGATTGGAGCCAAATTATTATTAGAGTTGAGTTAGTTCAGGAAATTCGATCAGGGCATAAATATATTCCTAATTATAGGGGGAGAGACTCACCCACCCACACTAACTTTATCAAGTCAGTCACCCGGTAAAAACCAAAACATGAAAATAAAACGCGCCGTTATGGGATTTTAGGAGAAAGTTGGCCTTAATCAGATCTTAAAATCCAAAATATGACTACAAAACTGCTTTATTTTCGTGCAATATGAAAATAAAACTCTACCACTACATTTTGCATGGAGAAAGTCCGCCTTGAGGAGACCTTAAAATCAAAAATATGACTACAAAACACTGCTTTATTTTAGTCCTTACATTTTTTATGGGAGACTTTAAAGTATGAAAATACCAGGGTGAAAGTGGGTTCGATTTCTGATTAATCTTATGAAAACGGATTGACTTTGCAATACGTCCGTATTATTTCCTGAGAGACTTTACTTGTTGATTTGGTGAAATTTATTGTGAAATTTATTTAATTTGTTAGAGTCACTCCAAAGTTGTACAATTTGGCTCAAAATGAAGAGATGATTTTGGAAAGTGCTTCTAAACATGAAGTTGATTTTACCGTACGCACGATCCACTTTTCAAGCTCGACTACTCATTTATTTCCATCCGTTTCTATAACTTTGGTTTCTCCTTCTACCTCTTGATTATTTTGCATGAATGACGCCAGATAATTAGCTTTGTCTGACAAATCAAAATGTGTAATCTTTCACGTCATTAACAACTCTCGGCGGCCTCATTTCGGTTAAAACCTTAGCTCAATTTCGTCGCCTTCTCTGCCAGTCATTAAATTTCGAGTAATAGTCCACCTAAAATTTGGAAGGATTGGACATTTTCGCAGTGCAGGAATAATTGACATTGACCAGTTAATTTGAGGCATATGTGAAAAAATACCATAAAAATAAGAATTCCAGCAAAATTTGTAGTTTCGAATCTAACACTGGATTTTTATTGTCCAATTTCTTTGACAAAAAAATTTCGTCCCATATCGTTCAAATATTTACAAGTTATGCGTATTTCTAAAAAAACATGTAAAAGATTTATATATTTTTCCAATAATAGCGGAAATATTTTTATTTTTGAACACCTAGAAATATATGATATTAAAATTTTTGTTATTTATAAAAGTTAAGCAACACACGCACAAGTTAGTCGTCATCAAATGAAAAAGTTGAAAATAAATGCATATCCGCCCCCTACTTATCTTATTATTTCTCTCCCCACAGTAAACATATTTTTGAATTAAAGAAACAAAATCCCAACAAAGATTTACACAATTTTAGGCAAGAAAAAAAGTTAAAGAAAAAAAACTAATCTTAAACTTTTCACGGTCCAATCAAATCTTTCAAATCTCTACGAGCTACCTATTTTTGTCATACTTACAATGCGATGGTGTGAAGTGTAACCCTCCGATTTGGCTGAAATTTTGAAATTAGGTGGTCCATGTCATTACAACTAACGTTTCTTCAGCCAGTTTGTGCGATGGTTGGAGTTACTCAAAATATTTGAGGTCAAAGTTGAAAAAACGGCTAACCTTTTTCAGGCGGAGTGAGAAAACTTCACTTCCATTCTCTTCCCCTCGCATTGATTTTAACTCTGAAAAATTATAGATTTCATCAATGTTAATTTAATTTATGATAGAAAAACATTAATTATTCATTGCACATGCGTCTTGGTCTTTGTTTTCAAATGAATTGGAAATCAGAATAACCAACGCTTTCGAAATGGAAAGTAAGTTTTTCCATGTTTATTTCCCGTTGATGAATTTATAAATTAATGTTTGTCTGAATTTTTAATACAAAGAAGTAAAAAGCTCACTTATTCAATTACGAATTAAATTTCGCGAGTATAAGGCCTGTTAATTCCTATTTAAGCGGTAATAATAATGTTTTATTTTTGTTATTTTGCATCACTACTTATGCTTGTGTATGAAGGCGTATGCGTGAGCGAGACGCCTGAATAAAATCAAAGCGAGGGGAAGAGAATGGAAGTCTCCGCCTGAAAAAAGTCGCCGTTTTTGAACTTTGACCTCAAATATTTTGAGTAACTCTCACAATCGCACAAACTGGCTGAAGAAACGTAGGTTGTATTGACTTGGACCACCTAATTTCAAAATTTCAGCCAAATCGGAGGGTTACACTTCACACCATCGCATTGTTAGAAATCTCCACCAGGGTATTCCGACCCAGGGTTTTATTGGGTTGGGTTTTTTGGGTTTTAATGGGTTTTAATGGGTTGTTAACGAATAAAACCCATTGGGTTTTACCATGTTAAATGGGTTTTATTTGGGTTTTAATGGGTTTTATTCGGGTTTTAATGGGTTTTAACTGTGTTTCAGCTTAAAACTATACTCTAAAAGCTGAAAACAGCTGTCGTACGTTAGACGAAGTTGTTTCATGGCAGCTAAGCAGTTTATTTGATTAATACTGTAAGTTTTAAAAACCAGGAATAAATCAGCGAGTGCCATTACAGGTTTCAAGTGACAAAAATATTTAAAAATAATAATTTCGGAACGAGGTATGTTTAAGTGAGCATACATAATTTAATTGCATTTAATTTACATTTTGCTGTCATAATTAATACTTTTTTCCCGAATACTTCCTCTCATCTCAGCGAATAAATTAAACAAAATACTGTAGTATTTTTTAATTTATAAAGTTTTTTAAAATGTTTCAAGGCGATCTTAATTATCACCTCTGGAAAAATCGAGTACTTATGGACAGCGAAGTACTTTATTATGAGCAAAAGAAGTGTGTCTGTAAAAAGCACTTATTATATTCTCGATCATAATACATACGTACTTTCATTGTTCATAAGTACTCGATTTTTTCCAGAATTGATAATACACGTTAAGATCGCATTGAAATATTAAATTTTAAAAACTTTTAAACTTGGATTTCATTATGATGAGAGGAAGTATTCGAGAAAAAGGTAATATATATTCTCATAAAGTATTAAACTATGATCAGTTAAACAGGACCATTTCGAAACGGATACAAATTCTAACATGGACAAGTAGGATTTGCATATTAATTGAAATTGGATTGCAATAGTAGTGAAAATTGTTGTTCAATGTATTACTTATGTAAAACCTAATAAAACCCAATAAAACCCATAAAACCCATTAAAACCCAAAAAAAAACCATTAAAACCCCTGGGTCGTTACTTTTTGATTATGTATTATGTGAGGAGGATTCCTACCCATAGGGGTAGACATCCAGCTGCGCAGGTCACCAGTTGGACCTATTGCAGACTACTTTTTGATTAAAACCCTGGGTTTTTCCGAACCCTGATCTCCACGTGCTTAGAAATGTGTCCTCTATCCAAATGACACATTATTCCCCAACCTTGTAATTTGTTCTCCACATATTTATATAACATACATACACCCTTCAATTACATGCTTTTACCCACCTTCTAAAAGAGTCAACCCACGCCCTACTTACTTAGCTCCGTCTTCATGATTAGTCTCCCTTTGTACCAACCAAACCATATTTTTATAGAAATTTCCCATTATATTGCTTGATCCCTGTGTGACATTTCAGAGTCCACCTTACTTACTCTCACTTTTACCGTGTCAGTCAATCAGCCCTCTTAAGTCAGGCAGACAAAGGTAGCAGTAATATTTAGCTGTCTCTTAATAATGGATGTAATGTACTTATTAAGAAGAAGAAGACGACCATTCAGGTCGGATGGACGGATGAGTGACACAAAACGATGAAATAAAGACAGCCTTCTGCTTCTGCTTAATTAAAGTTTTCATCAGCACTCACTCTCAGGAAATTTCCGGGAAATTTCGTCGTATCATTTTTCTCGCATCACGGAATGAAGGTTTAGAAATCTGTGTTTCTTTGGAGGGATAAAGGTTAGGATAAAAAAGGTGAAAGGAAGGAGTACACGAGGAGAGGGAAGGATTTTTTTATCCCTAAAATTCAGAGGTGGGCAAAATATTTGCAGTATTTTGAGCTTCGTTTTTCCCTGAGTTTAGATTTCCGGGGGTGTGACACCCACAAAAAGACGAAAATCTACGTGGAGAAGGTAACAGTCAGTCGAAAATACACGTTTTCTGTCAAAATTAACTCTTTTACCGCGGCCAAAATACACTAAAGCAATTCACGCATAACCTTGTAAAATTCGTAAATTTTGTAAACTAATTTTCTTAGCTTTGTTTTCTAATAATACGTTTTTAGAGAGCATTTTATTCATCCTTGAAAACTGTATGCGCCCTTGGGATGGTCCAATCTGGTACTAAATTCATTTATAATTTTTCTTACAAAATAGATTTCGACTTTAAAGTGTTACAATCGTTTCAGAAATCTGGCCGTGCTGTTAAAAGTCTTGAAAATAAAATATTTTGACACCCACAAGAAGCTAATTTCTTCACAGAACCCGTATTTCCGACTGACTGTTGCCATCTCCACGTAAATTTTCGTCTTTTTGTTGGTGTAACAACCCCAGAAATCCAAAACGGTGCTTAAAAATCCTGTATTTGAACCAGTATTTTGCCCCCCTTTGCTAAAATCTGGGAGGAACGAGCCTCATCAATGCGCTACATAAAAGTGGAGAGATCTCTCTTTTTCGGTGTAATGACTGATCTCTGATGATACGAAATGAAAAGGAGGCAGAGAGATGAGAGCTGCGTTGCTAAGGATGTCACTCCGCCGTGACGTCCAGGTAGGCAAGGGATTGAGTTAAGGGAGTGAAAGTAAATGAGAGAAAGTACGTATAATAACGAGCTAGCTAGAGCTACAAGTGGATATGAAATGATGAAAATCAAAGCTACTTTTTCATACTTTGCTGCCTTCATTACTCGCACTTGGTGGATTGGATGAAAGCAAGAGATTTTCTTCCCCATTGTTTGCCAAAAACTAAAGGAAAATATTATTTTAAACCGTGATCGGAAATAAATGAGGAGGAAGTCCTCTTCTTATTACACGGAAAATGTGACACTAATCTCTTTCCGGGTAAAATAAGACTGCTGAAAGCAATGTTCTTCCCTAAACAGTAGCTTTCTTCGTAACCTTGCTCTTGTTTTCTTTCTCAAAGCGTTAGAAGTTCAAAAGCACCAAGTTTATTTAGTAGAAATAAGTAGAAATCACTGCGTCGAATTCTGCAATAAGCGACAAAAAATGGATACATATTGTAAATATTCTGCATAATTTTTCTTACAAATTCCTGTCCAAAATTTCGTTCGAGTTTTGCATATTCTTCGGAACCGTATGTGCATAATTCTGCATATTTTTCTTCAAAAATCTCTGTAAAAAACCGGACAAAATTTTCGTACAAAATTGGTCCAAATTTCCACACAGAATCGGGAAACAATTTCTGCACAAAATCTGTCCAAATTTCTGCAGAAAACCCTTTCAAATTTTTACTTGGAAGTATTAAATTCCTACCTCGTGAAACAATAACTACCCAAAATAAATACACGACTTCATGAAAATTACATATTTTCCGGCCCATAATCTTACAATATTTCTCTTTCTGCTTACAGCTGGGGAGGCCATCACCACTCCACGAATGAGGATGACAAACATGATGGAAGAACTGGATTGATCACACCAAACAGCCAACAAGATAATAATAATAATGATGATGACGGGGTGCAGCCTGCTTTAAGAAGAAGAAGAGTTGAAGAATTGCGATAATGACGTCGGGAGACGGAGCTTGAGATGAGAAGAAAACCGAGAAAATCATCAAAAACACAACCCAACAACCCTTCCCCTCCCCAAAAAACGTAAAGTTTCCTATCCCCTCTCAAAATGCAAAAGTTATATCATGATAAGAATTTTACACTCACCGGAGAAAGTCAAATTTCCGAAAAAATGCATAATAACTAGAAATGTTTGTTCTCTTCTCAAGTATTATTCATTCATAATCAATAAATATGCATAATAATTTTCAATTTATTACTATATTTACATTTACATAATTATTTATGCAATACTCAACTGGCTTGCGTTGCATAATTGTAAAAATAGTTAAGAAATATGTGTCCTTGCAATTTAATATTAACTTACATATGTATCCCTTTAAAGAAAAAGCTATTCTTGGAATGTGGAGGGAGATATGTATCGTCATTATTTTGCATATTATGTGATAAAATATACATAAATAGATTAAGGAATCGATCACGTACGTAAATAAGTTAGTTCGTCTCCGACGAGTTACTAAATATAGCGTGGAATTATTCGTGCTAGCCACCTCATTTGGATATTTTGACCCAGAATTCATTCAACATAGAAAATAGGCATTGTCCAATTTATGCAAATGAGGTGACACGCACAAATAATTCTACTTAATGTACTGTGGAATTATTGTTGTGGTTCACCTCATTTGCATATTTTGACGCATTCCCCCTCGAGTTCAACATAGAAAACCACACAATGGGCATAGTGGGATTTATGCAAATGAGGTGACACACACAAATAACTCCACCGTACTTTCAACCTAATAATATCCTACATACGTATTCTTGTTAAATTCCCAGAAACTAAAAGTGCTAAGTAATCTTGTCATTCAATTTTTAGCAGGTCTTGGCAAATACTAAATTTAAGAGTAAACTCTGTAAATATGTAAATTCAGTAAGTTTTTTGCAGTAAACTTATCATCGCTTCCACGTACGTAAATAAATCAACTACGCCATGAAATTGGGAGGAAATATATCTATATATTTTGTAACCTTGCAAAAACAATTCACGCAGCCAATAAATATTACATGTATTTACTTATTAATAAATAGTAAATTACACTTAATAGTTCATCATAATAAATAGTGTTGAAATTATTTAAATTACGTATCCGTAGTATTTTACTAGTAAACGAGAGATTGCGAAGTATGTAGTAAAACTACTAAAAAAATTGTAGCTATGTAATTTACATATGTACATCTTGTTAACTAATTTACATAAATAAATAGTCATCATGATGTCCTCTCGAGTAGAATAATTGCGTAACGTTGCAATGAAAATGAATATTATTGTGTAGCAAGCAGCTCTATGTTACTTTACTTTACTTGTTATCCATCCGGTCAAACGGTGGTCATTAAATAAAAACATAATCAATCTTCAGAAAAAGAAATTTAACATGTTTTTTTACATTCATTTGAGCGAACTTTTGGGCATGCAGTCGATTTCTGGTTTGGTTTGGTTGTTCACAATCACAATGAATGAAATGAATTAAAAAGCTGGAGGGGAAGGGAAAGGAAGCCGGCAAAGAATCAATTTCCTTTACCAGTTCCCACAATAATTTAGTCTTCCACTCCTTCCTTCAGTTCCTCTTCTGTGCTGCAATGCAATGGAGAAATATGTGTGCATAACTGGATTCGTGCGGTTCATCAGAGGTGGGCAAAATTCTATTCTTCCCAGGGATTCGATTTTCTGGGGCTGTTCTGTTACACCCACAAAATGACGAAAATCTACGCGGAGAAGACAATAGTCAGACGGAAATACATACAGATTTTGTGTAAAATGATTTCAAGATTATCTAAACAAATAATGTATTTTGCAGCAATGAAAAATTAATATCTTCAGGAAACCTGTAATTTCGACCGACTGTTGCCTTCTCCACGTAGATTCTCGCCTTTTTTTCTGTTGAAACATTCCCGGAAATCCAAACCTTTACATAACCCAAACCCTGTTAGAATCGAATCCTCAAAATAATCTATTTTGCCCCACTTTGCACTTCATGAATGAACACTAGTTGTGGTCACAGTAAGTAAATTTTGGTCTTATTCTTTCCCAATAAGAAGCACAATCTGTACTTTCTCCTCCTTCGCCCTATCCATAATAATAACCGTGGCTTGATTTCTCGGTATACATATTTACTTATATAATCAAGTGAAACCAGGCCAGTGACTTGGGTTACGTTATGTTATGTGTGTAAACATGTTGTTATTGCATTCGTTGTGGGTGGGTTGGAACGACATAAGTAATGAAGCCATATACATAACCAAACCAAACCACACAAAACAACGCCACACGGACCAACAAGATCACAAATTTACCACCCGGATGGTGTGTGTCTCTCACTTCGAGATTTCCATTACCTTATTTTCCTCCGGATTGGATTGGATAAAGGAAGTTGTACAAATTCGACTCCTACACAAACTCAAGATGATGAATTGAATGTTCCCGGAGAGAGAGAGAAAGTACAAAAATAAGTCAAATTACTTCATCCTTTTACGCAATTACTTGGGTAGCTTTAACTTTGTCAATTATAAAAATTTTCGTATTCTTTCCGAATAAATACAATTTCTGGAAATCACACACGCGTTAAATGCAGAATTATTATTTTTTTAGTCATAAATTGAATGGGAAAGTTCCAACTTTCCAAAAAAACCCTATTTTTTCAAAAATAGGTAAAACTCGTTGAAATCAAAGTCGCATTGATGAAAAATCTAGCATTTGCTATAAATTGGAGGAGAAAGTTAAAAGATTCATCCTTAAAACAGACTTAGGAATTTGTTTTGCTCCTTAATTTTGCTTTACTTTCTCAGAAAAATGCATATTTTTTTCAAAATGTTCAAAATTCGCTGAAATTATACATTCCTTTGAAAAATCCGGCATTTTTCACCCTAAATTGAAGGAGAAACTCTAAAAACTAATCTTTCATATTGCACACAGAGTTTAGTTTTAATTTAATTTCTCCAATTTTTATAATTTTTTCAAACTCGTCAAAAATTGCACAGAATGACAAAAATTCAGAATTCACCACTTTTCTAGGAGCAGCATACATACATTTCTACAATACTTTGGATATGTGACAATGGTTGAGTGAATTTGTAATTTTTCCGTAATTTCGAAGAATTTTAATTTCAGAAAAATTGTAAAATGAAAAAATGCTTTGTAATTCTGAATATTACAATATCATGAATTCGCTAGTCTCTCATCTTTAATTTCCCCATGGCACAATTTTTTTCAGTAATTCTTCCAACGTCGTCGAAATCACACAAATTGCGAACCAAAGTCAGTTTTAGTTTATTTTACAATTTTCCCTAAAATTCTTCGAAATCTGGAAAAAATTACAAATTCACTCGCCCATTTTTTTAACCTTTCGATATGCAAATTTATAGATAACCCGATACTCATCGATATTCGACATAAACAGATTGGCATCACATCAACCTTTTTGACTCACCCTCGCTTTTTCCTCCAATCTTTCGTTCCCATTTTGCATATGTTTTGCATTATATATAGAAAAAAGAAGAAAGCATACTAACCAATGGCCGCGGAAGGGCGAGGGGACAATGTCCTCATCATCTTATATAAACCCCTATCCTACAATACTAATGTCCCCAGATGCCCCACGGCTTCCGCCGTCACAATTAAAATTTAATTAAAAAATTTGAACTTTAAGAGTTTTCTACTGTCCCAACTAAATGTTAAATTTGAACATTTTCTTACCGAAAATTTGGATATTTTCCAATACACCGCAATGATAAATTTGTGATCTTTCAGTTTTTCAAGTTCTCTTAAAATCCTTGAATTCTTCCATGACTTCAACATAATTATACACTCAAAATAAGATAGTAATGAATCATTACCATGCGGAATGACTATGTGGCTCTACCACGTCGGTTACGATTTGTCGTAGAAATGGTAATAATAAGTTCAGGGAAATTCAAATTTAATACATAATGGTATTCACTTTCTTAATATTTGGTAATGAATTTGAATTTCCCTGAACTTATTATTACCATTTCTACGACAAATCGTAACCGACGTGGTAGAGCCACATAGTCATTCCGCATGGTAATGATTCATTACTATCTTATTTTGAGTGTAACGTCCGTAATTAATGCATATTCTTGTGGTTAATCATACCCGTTAAAGGGTTAACTTGCCCTCGTGTCCCCACGCCTTCCGCAGCCACTGAATTCTAACCAACCAACCAACAAACCCACCTTTCTTTCTTTCTTTCTTTCTCCAGACAAAAAAAATGTTTAGTTCTATTCCATTCCATTCTATTTTTTCCCCTCCTTCAGGTTTCTTCCTCTCGGAGAAAGAAAGCGGAGAAAGCGTAGAAAATCAAGAATACGGAATCAAACTAAAATTTCCGCCTCTTACGAAGCAACTCACTCAGCCACCCTGCACGACTTCCTGTCCTGGCATTTCCTCCTCCAATTTCAATTCCCGAAGACAAAAAAATGCATGGATTTTGCACCAATGATGACGGAATGGAATGAATAAAGGCAAAACCCGGTCCTGGATCGATCCCTGACTTCCAACTTTCTCTCATTTCTTACAAGGGACGTAAACCAGCGGATACTCTCCGATTTTGGCAAAATTAGTGTGAATCGATCACAAATTTAATTAGGATGAAATTTGCGAAAGACCCGATCTCCTAGGCGAAATTTTTGCAGAGATATTTGCATCCGAAGAGGATAAAATGCGCAGTAAACTTGAAAAGTGTAATATTGTTATATCTCAATGTCAGAAAAAATTGAAAACAAATAAAGTAAACAAAACATGACCAGATACCTAATTGGATTTTCCCTAGTAATCTTGGAAAGTTAAAAATTTGTGATGTTTTGTATCTTCGGATCATACCTGTTCACTTTCATTCATGTGACTGATTATGATAATGAATGATAGTGAATGAAAATGAATTTCCTGTGATTTAAATGAAAATGAGTGAAAGATTCCGTCATTTCAGATGAATGACTATGAATGAATGAAAATATTTTCACCCTATGCTTAATACATGGGGCGAATTAGGAAATGAAGTCCGATGATGTGAAATGAAATGAATTTGAACGAAAATGACTGAATATGAATGAAAATCTTCAGACAGTAATCCGCATGACTAACTTTTAATGAAAACTAAATTTTTTAACAGGTATGCTTCAAATGCAAATATCTCTGCCATTGGGAGATCGTGCTCTTTCCAAAGTTCATCCTAATTAAATTTCTGATCCATTCACCCTAATATTTTTTTTCAAAAATCCGACACCATCGGCTGAAAAAGTTCCATTCTAACTTTGAAAAATAATTGAGAGAACTTTTTTCCCTAAGAATTGCTATGATTTCTTTGGAGAAAGTTTCCCAAGAAAAAAAAATCACCTCAAAAAATTACACGACGATCATACCCTCTCCTTATTTACACGAGGAATCCAATCCAATCCAATCATTTTCTTCCCCTATGAGTGAAATCTGTCAAGTTAATAATAACGCAAAAGCTGTTATGGATTGTCTCATTTTTGTAATTGCGATGTAACAAAGTTTGATTAGAAAAAGTGAAATGTCTTGTTTTTTCCTGGTGAAAGTAAGTAATCGGAGGAGTCATTAATATCGAAATGTTATTATTACATATTATGAAACCATGTATGTGTAGGAGTTGATTGCGTTACAGAAAGGTTACATACGTACGTATGCTTTCTCCCAAAAAAGTTGTGTTTTTTGATGGATTTCTTTCTAAAAAAATACTTATGTACCAGGAAACAAATGTTCTTTTAGAAGTTGGACTCTATTTTAGTCGGCGTGTGTGTTTGTGCGTAGGCGAATTACAACCCCCACAATTTTTCGTAATTTCATCCCCTGATTTAGTACTTACAGTATTGGACATAATTTAGCGTAAACTTTTAAGACTTTTTGGTGGACGTAACGGTTTCAAATTTTGCGGGGTAATATTCTGAGTGGATTGAGTTCTTATATATTTTGCGAAATTTTAAACAGGCAAATGACGCATTTTTGGTGTAAAAGCTTGTTTTTTAAGCTACCACTACGATTTAATCATGCCGAACATTTCAAAAATGTTTTTTTAGACTAAAGATACGAGTTTGTGGATTTTTTATAAATCTGTTCAAATCTTGGTGATGGATAATCTTATTTAGTTCGAGCGACCTATGTCTTGAAAATGGGACAGAATTATCACAAGTTTTTTTAAAACAAAGTTATCAATTTTTAATGACCCAGCTTTTAAGCATTTTTCAAAAATCTGCCAGAAATCTGATAAATCATAATGTTTTCCTGATTACCATATTCTTACATATTTCATTCTGTTCACTCCGTTGATGGAAAACCGGTTAAAAATGTCACCCAATCGTCCAATTTAATTCATTCCCACTTTCTCTCCTCGCT